AAAAGAAAAAGGGACGAGACAGAAGAAAGGAAGAGAAGTTGAGAGAATGGAAATCTGATCTGGACAATCGTAGAAGTGGGTTGGAGTTATCACCAAGCACCGGCCATAGCAGAGTTGCCGAAGGAGAAGGGAAACTTCGCCGGAGAGGGAAGGTTGCTGCCGGCAGACCAAACTGTTGTTGACGCCGTCGCTTGCCCGGAGAGCCATCGTGTGACACCACCGCCATAAGAAAAGAAGTCCTGCCGCCACATCCGCCGAAGGTCTTCACTCGCTTTCCGCCCTCTATTTGAACGAAGAAGATAGTATTATGAATTATTTTATATCTTCCTCAATTTACATGTTGGGTACACTCAAGCTACATCAAGATTTGTCTAAAGTTACATATCCCAAGTTACATCTAATTTGTTTTCAAGTTACATTTCTATTAAAGCAGTTTACATTTCAACGAGTTACATGTGAATGTGTGTAATTTACATTTTGATTAACTTGAAGTTACATGTGAAATCACACGAGTTACATCTCATATAGCCATGAGAGCACAATGCACACCATGCACCGGTTGCACGCTATAGGGACTGTTGAGGAACACGTAGTTATATTGATTGCTATAATGGGCTTTGACACAATAGTTAAGAAAAAGATTAGGGACAGTAGAGAGTTTTGAAAACTAAAAGAGTTGGTGAAAAGCATGTAAGATGAAAAACTAGAAAAGGGTAAGATACATTGAGCACTTTTAATGATGAAAAGTAAAAATAGTTACAAAAATTATCAAAAAAAGAAGTGTGTAAAAAATAAAAAGTAAAAATAGTTACATATTTATGATGAAAATAAAGGTTGTTTACAAAAATATGACTAGTGACAAGACTATCAATGAAATCATAGTAACTTATGTTCAATTTTTAGACTTAGTTACCATGATACTAAATTGTAGTAAATGTTAGTCATATTTGTGTAAATAAGAAAAATGCATCAAACAAAAAATACGATGGAGTGTCATCTATTAAAATGACATACTAGCGACTCGGTGTCATAAAAGCTATCCAAAATTGACTTGTACAAATGTTATTAACAATATAAATTGTATGGTAGAGTTTTGTGTGAAAAAAGAGAGAAATAAAATTGTGAACATATTTGTTGGAATAAAAGAAGTTATACAAATGGCAGAGACATTTAATGAGGGGAATTGGTTAAATTTTGTTGGACATGAAGCCTAACATGAGATGATCTAGAGAGAATAATGCTTGAAGCTTTGTGAAATACAAAAAAAAATGACTACTTTTCTTCCCCCCCTAAAAATATGACTAAGGTTTTGCTTAACTAATTCAATTTTTCATTGTAATTTATTTCAAATCTTTGCCCTAGCCACCTCCCCCACACATGTCCAACCACCGCGGGATCCGTCACCGGAAAAGTTTCCGGAAACAGCCGCCAGAAAAGTTGTCGGGATCCGCTACCAGAAAAGTCGCCACCAGAATATTCAATGTTTTTTCTATTTTTTGTTTTTCGATAAAAAACTACCGATTTTTTTTTGCGGCGGTTACAATGACATGATACACGGCAGCAGTGACATCCGTAAATGACTTGAAAATATGATAGACATCTATTACTTTATTAGTGACATGAAAATCTTTGTGAATTTTTTTATACTGACGTCATGTTTTTTCAAAAATATGATCTTCTACAGGAAAATACTTATATTAAACTCAAAAATCAAACATCTAACATAGTGACTATCCAAACATTTCCTCTAGACTACTTACGGCCAATAGGCCCTCTCACTCTCTGATCAGACATCGAATAGACCGCGCAATAATGAGCAAGACTAATCGATGAACATGCGAGAGATTTAAAACTATTATCTGCCAAACTAACGTAATTGATACCTCCCAAACTAAAAACTAAAACCACATAACACATAGTATAATGTTTGACCTAAGACGCAACAAAAGAAATAAAAACATAGTATTGGACCTAAATGTTAAATATAGTGCAGATAAAACTAGATAACGTAAAGCAGACTTGAGCCACATTCGTCCAAACCCTAGATTCTCTGTCATTCCATGGAGGCGGTTAAGGAGGAGGCGAGCCAATAACACTTCACCTTCCTCCTCCAATATCTACTGATCACAAATGTGATCTAGTTCATCAAACTCACCTTGCTTCGTAACCATCTCAATCGTTACTGCTTGGAAATACCTATGCCCTCCCATCGCAACCTGCAGCTTCGAATTCATACAATCCGTCTTCCGGTCTGTGAAAATAGAGTGCCCCTAAACGCCGAACAGATTGCTACGGCTTGGAGAGCCTTCGTTGTCAACCCCTGCGATCCTAGAACTCCATCTTCAACCTCTATCCCCCTTGCTTTTCTGAACATCATCGTCGATGAGGAAATTAGCGTCGTTGTCCACTAAACTAAACCCTAGACACGCTAGGCCGTCTGTCGATGGCTTGAGGCAAATATTTCAAAAAATATGACTTTAATAGTCAAATTTTTGTCTATATATAAAAGTGGTCATTGTTTTTGGAAATTGACTTGAATTTAATCATATTTAAAGAAAAATCCAAAAATATCAACACATCGGCAGTTATAAATTGCTCCCTCCATCCTGAAATGAAATTCCCGATTTAACCTACACATATTTATCTAAAATAGTCTTTTGTTTGATTTTTCAAGAATACCCTTAGTTTATGTGAAATCCAGCAAAAAGTAGATAAAAATAAGGATAGTTGTGATTTTTTTGTTTAAAGTCGTTTCTTTTTATAGAAATAAGAACTTCTTTTTGGGACATCTTTAATAGAAAAAGTGAGAACTTTTTTTCAAGATGAAAGTACTACCTCCGTCCCAATTTACTTAGTCATCTTAGACTTTTCCAGTCAAAGATGGTAAACTTTGACCAATTATTTAAACTAATTTATTTAAGCAAAATTTAATAATTTTATATATTTATGATCGTATTTTTAACAAAGAACATTTTCATATCATTTTTATATCATTAGTACTTTCTCTATATAAACATATAATCGGTCAAAGTTAGACATCATTAACTTGAAAAGTCAAGTTTGACTAACTAAAATGAGACATAGAGAGTAGTATATAGTACTCCCATTCCTAAAAGAATTTTCAACTTTCCTTTTTCATCCGTCCCAAAAGGAACTTCACTTTCCCTTCTTGGCAAAGAATTTGTGGTTCATAGCAATTCTTACACATTTCTTTCTCATCTACACAACTCTCCACAACACAATATCCACTTTCTTAATCCGTGTGCCATTTGTACTAGGGAAGACTTTTAGGGACGGAGGTAGGCCTGGGACATGGACCCGTAACACCGGGAAACCAATCCGATCCGAACTGAATTTTCTGGTTCAGTTCGGTTCCTATAATTTTGGACTTTATCTTTTTTCAGTTTGTTTCTTATGGTATATGATCGGTTCGGTTCCGATTCGGTTCCAGTTCGGTTCCGATTCCTAGACACGAACCGAACTTCTTATACATTGCATGAGTAATCTTTATTTAATGTGCTTCTCGGTGGAATATTTTGATGAAATTTTGTAAGCTTTTTTTCAATGAAATGTAGATTATGTCATCTAAATTTGAGCTTAAAATTCAATCGGGAAGTTAGTTAAATAAATTATTGAAAAACATTGTGTTATTATATGTATTTTGACGTAGTGTTTTTCAATAATTTATTTAACTAACTTCCCGATTGAATTTTAAGCTGAAATTTTGTAAGCTGAAATTTTGTAAGCTTTTTTTCAATGAAATGTAGATTGTGTCCTCTAAATTTGAGCTTAAAATTCAATCGGGAAGTTAGTTAAATAAATTATTGAAAAACACTACGTCAAAATACATATAATAACACACTGCTTTTCAATAATTTATTTAACTAACTTCCCGATTGAATTTTAAGCTGAAATTTAGTGGATGTAATCTACACTTCATGTAGAACATGCTCACAATATATCATCAAAAATATCTACCCGAAATGGAGGTGGCCAGACGACGTTCCGGGCAGAAAATTCTTGTCAGGAATATTTGTCTTGCATAATATACCTTATATATGTGGACCACGCCAATTCGAGTAGTTGTTATTTTACTACTTTAGTCGATTTTTATATTTATTATTTGTTTCTGATTGTATTTGTTGTTTGAGTCCACAATAAGGAAATAGTATTCCGCTTATTATGTTGTTAATTGTTCATAGTAAATTACAAATATTATTGATCAGTTTATTACTACGTACTTTTTACTTATGGTGCATTACTAGTAAAAGAATATTATTTTGAGGTTGAACTACCTGTTATTGGATGTGTACCTTGAAGTTATTAAATCTTTTTGCTTGACAGTTAATGTCTATTTTAAACCTTTATGTTGTTCTTATGTTTAAACTTAATGTTTGCACTTGGATATTTTTGTGATATTTGAAATTTGGAATATCATGTATGTATAATGTAATGATCATAATTTCATCATTCAAAATTTGATTGTTTTTGTAACTGAAGGTAAAATGTGTCCATTTTAGGAGGATGATAAATTTTTATTAGGAACCGAAAAAATGTAAGAATCGAACCGAATTTAACTACAACCGAACCGAATTTAACAACTATATTTTTCTTAACTAGAACCGAACCGAATTTAGCGTCTATATTTTTAATACGGTTCCATGGAATTTTAACAAGAATCGAACTGATCCTATGCCTAGACGGAGGGAGTATATACTTGCATAAAATAATGAAGTTGTAACTAGATTTTTTCTTTTATAGTTGTGGAATGAATGTGCAGAAATGAGGAAAAGGTTGTTTTTTCAGGGAAAAAACGTATTTACTCCGGTGTGATTCTCGTGTTCCTACTACAGTCATCTTCAATCCTGTAAACTGTAATTCTGTAAACCCAGCACTTCTATCCATTGGATTTCACACAATAGTATCATTATAATTATAAATAAATTAACAATTACAAAAACATATCCCGTATATATAAATAAATGGAGTATATAGAGAGATGAAAATGTGCGGGCGTTAAAAAAGACACAGGCTAGGCATGGCGAGTGCGCAAGCCAGAGTGGTGGTGCTATCTCTCCTCCTCTTCCTCCTGTTCGCGATACCCGGCGGCTGCCTCTCCGCCTCCGTCCACGATCTGCTCAGGTCGTACGGACTTCCGGGCGGGCTTCTCCCGAAGCAGGTGAGCAACTACAGCTTGTCGGACACGGGGCTGCTAGAAGTGTTCCTTGAAGGCCCGTGCCTGACCAAGTTCGACACCATGGCGCGGTACGACAGCGTGGTGCGGGCCAACCTCACCCACGGCGGCCTCGCCGGCGTCCAGGGCTTCTCCCAGGAAGAGCTCTTCGTCTGGCTCCCGGTCAAAGGCGTCGTCGTCCACGATCCCGCCTCCGGCCTCATCTTCCTTGACATCGGCTTGGCTCACAAGCACCTCTCCCTTTCCCTCTTTGAAGATCCGCCCGATTGCGACGCCCAATCCCACGGTATACATCATCTCTTGTTCTCAATTCCATCCCCCGATTTAATTTGCTCTGTTTCCTTTTAATTAATTAATTTCATTGATTGATTATTCCAATACATAATCTAACTTCAATACTTAGGGTACCGAATTGATAGATTTCATTTATAAATCCATTCCAATCTAACTTGACTTGAGGGAGGGAATGATGGTGTGAAGGGAGATTCCAATCCAAATAGGAAGGTTGAGGTTTGCTTTATGATCCTGGAGTTCTCTTGACATTGTTTCTGGTATTCCGTTTTTTGAGGAATTTGGATTTAATCAGCTAAACCATAAAAGCATTAGGGTTTGGGATTATTACCCCATAATCTTGCTTTATTACGGAGTAGATATTTTTTAATTAAATAGTACCAGTCCCGTGCCAATTTAAAATAAAATTACGCTTTGGAATTACTAAAAAGTAAGTTTTCGGCAAAAAGAAACATTTTTTATTTTCAAGAATGTGACTAAATCAACACTAAATCTGGAAACTGTCGTTTGTAATTTCTTTTACTACCCTCCTTATAGCCCACAATCATCTCACAAACCTCATCCTGACGCCATAGTGATCACTAATCTGACAGTGATCACTGCCGGCCGATCGGTGATGACCCCTAACCACAATGACCAAAGTTACAGTTACAACCACCGAGTGACACATTCTTCTCCACAACCACATCACGACCCCACCACCACTGCGCCAACCGCCACCTGTCCTTCCCCACCCCACTACCGCCCACACCCTACCCCTGCCCTGCATTGCCCGCCCCCCTGCCCTGTATTGCCTGGCCCCCTGTCACTGCACTCATAACCCGGCACTCCCCCATCAGCCCGCCACCCCACTGGTTCTATCACTGTTGCCACGAATCTGTGAACCTGCCCCATCAGAACCCTAGTTACCCTGCGTGACCGGTGGGCGTAGCTCAACTGATAGCAAGGGAATGCCACAAAGGTTAGGTCCTAGGTTCAAATCTCTTCAACTGCGATGATGGATTACTATGCTAAAAATGCATGGAGCCTCTGCAAGTACCGGTAACAGAACCAAACTCTATGTGTCAGATTGGGATTATAGTCCAATTTATCTCCTCCCAAATGTACCGTCCGGTCGAGGTTGAGGGACCCTCAGGGATGGGGTGTCATCCTTTTTGTTTTCTGCGTACGTGTAATCATCGGACAAGAAGAGAGGAGATAATGATGAGGAGGAGGATGAGAGCTGGAGCAGTGTTGGGAAGAAAAGAAGCCCGGCAGCAGCGATTGCAAATCGGCGGCCGTACTCTCGGACCACATCGAGGAGAATGGTCACAGACCCATCTGACGCACACAAGAGAGAAGATCAGGAGGTTTAGACTTCGGGTATTCTGAGTATACTAAGAGTGTTTTCTATTCACACACATATAATTATTCTCCTTTTTTATCCAAATTAAAAATAGGTTTTATTTGTATCCAAGCTGATAGTATAATAATAGTATTATTACTACTATGTCATTATTTCTAATATCTACTTAAGTACCACGTATTATTAAAACAAATAAATAATGATGGCACCATACATACTAGGGGTATGCAATTCTATTTACTGTTCGGTTTTCTTCGGTTTCGATTTATTTGGTTTGGGAGAATTTGTACCAAAGTAAAACCATTTGTGTTTCAGATTGGTATCAATTCGGTTTCGGTTTGGTTCGGTTTACCAAAGTGAAAAGTATAAAATTCAATTTAGTTCGATTTGATTTGATTTTTTATTTTATTATTTTATTTGATCAAGTTCTATATTTTAGAATTAGAAAAAAGTAGTAGTCCATCTCATCTTCTTTTATTTACTCCGTATTATTTAAATAAAATGTAAAGGGAAATAAAAGATATAAATAAAAATAATAAAATATTATAAATTAAAACTTCTATCATCTCTTTGATCACTAGAAAAAGATTCACTTATCACACAAAATAAATTTATACTCCCTCCGGTTCTCAAAGAGCTTCACAATTTGACTTCACACGGATTAAGAAAATAAATTTGACTTTACTATGGAGTGCACTGTTTGGCACTGTTTGGACACTGTTTAATACTGTTTTGCACTGTTTTGGTGCAGATAATTTGACAAATAAAGAAATAAGAAGAAGTGTGAAGTTAATTTCGGGACTTCCCGAAAAGGAAAGTGAGAAGTTGTTTGAGAACCAGAGGGAGTAGTTAATCAGCAATATCACATAAAATATTCAAAGAAAACTAAACGAGTCGGTGATGCAAATGTTGTAATATTCATAATTTTATTCAAATGTGATCGAATTTTGAACTGAAATTTTTGTGGATAAACTAGACTGAGAAACATGATAAAAAAAATCATCAAAAAATTCCATCAAAAACCTTCCTAAACGGCGGCGTTTGGTCGCCGGATCCTATCAGGATCTCACACACATATATATCAAATACAAGTTGTGCGTTTTTTGGTTTTATGTTAAAATAGGAATGCAACAAGTAGAAAATTGAGTTCATCTCAATTGATTAAGAACTATCACACACTGCTACAAGCATAAATAAATCTCATGCGTAGGTTTCTCTTATACAAACATGAGGTGGGAGAGCTTACATATATATGTGAGTGGGTGCATGAATTTACATGGAAATGGGCAAAGTATGGGTCCCAATATAATAATGATTGTACAACTATGTAATATGAGCAATAATATAGTGACATACGTATATAACTAGTTGTAATATTAATATAATAAAATATATAAAACTCAATACTCCCCCTCAAGGTGGAGTGTGAAGGTCCCGAACACCCAACTTGCTTCGTAGAAACTGAAAACGATCGGCACCAAGAGCTTTGGTAAAAATGTCTGCAACTTGATTAGCGGAAGAGACGTAGCACGGCGTAATTTCACCACTGGAGACACGTTCACGAACAAAGTAACAATCCATTTCAACGTGTTTGGTGCGTTCATGAAAAACAGGATTAAGTGCAATGTGACGGGCTGCTTGATTATCACAAAAAAGAGGAGTGGGTCCAACGGGGGACATACCAAGTTCACGTAGCAAATACCGGAGCCATAGTACCTCACTAACTGTGACAGCCATAGCCCTATATTCGGCTTCAGCGGAAGAACGGGAGACAACAGACTGTTTCTTAGTCCGCCAGGAAATAGGTGAAGTGCCAAGAAGGATGAGATAACCAGTGCTAGAGCGACGGGTGAAAGTACACCCAGCCCAATCCGCATCACAGTAGCCATATAAGGTAAAATTGTCATCGGAAGATAGGTAAATTCCCTGTCCGGGCGATTGTTTGAGATACCGAAGAATACGGAAAGCAGCATCAAGATGAGATTGTCGAGGTGCACTCAAAAACTGACTTAGTTGTGACACAGAGAAGACAATGTCGGGGCGTGTGACCGTGAGATATAATAAACGCCCAATCAATCTGCGATACGCGGAAGCATCAATGAGCGGACTGCCATCGTCTGGTTGGAGTTTCAAATTTTGTTCCATAGGAAACAAACTGGGTCGGCCCGCGAGGAGACCACTTTCTTTTAAAATATCAAGTGTGTATTTGCGTTGGCTCAAGACAAAACCGGTAGGAGAACGGGCCACTTCTATGCCGAGAAAGTATTTTAGTGGGCCTAAATCTTTGATGCTGAAGGTGGTGTCCAAGTATTTCTTGACTCCTGTGATGTGGGAAATAGTATCTCCAGCTAATATGACGTCGTCCACATAGATGAGAGCAAAAGTGGTAGTGTCACCGTTCTGATAAATGAACAAAGAGTGATCTGCCCGAGATTGGCGGAAACCAATCGTAATAAGCGCTTGGGTAAATTTTTGATACCAATTACGAGAGGCTTGACGGAGCCCATAGAGGGATTTATGTAATTTACAAACTCGTGTATCACCACTTTTAGAGAATCCCTGTGGAATGCGCATATAGACATCTTCAGATAGATCACCATGAAGGAATGCATTATTGACATCAAGTTGGTGGACAATCCAGTTGCATTTAGAAGCAACGGCTAATAAGCAGCGGACAGTCACGAGCTTTGCTACTGGTGCAAAAGTTTCGTGAAAATCAATTCCTTCAACTTGTGTAAATCCTTTAGCCACTAAACGAGCTTTATAACGCTCCACGTCACCATTAGGTTTGTACTTGATTTTATAAACCCATTTGGAATCAACAACCTTTTTTCCGGGCGGAGGAGCGACCAAAGTCCAGGTGCCATTATTCTCCAAAGCGGTGATTTCTTGTTGCATGGCTTTACGCCATAGAGGGTCCTGGATTGCTTGTGAAAAGTATTTTGGCTCATCACGTGAAGTGATGGCCGCTAGAAATGCTTTATGTGTTAATGAAAATTTATCATAACTAACAAAATTGGAAATAGGATATACCGTCGATTGAGCTGAATTGGTAGTGGGGTGTGATTGACCGAGTGAGGGAGGCAAGTCAGTTTCAAAATTATCCAAATGTGCCGGAAAGTGACGATTTCTTTTGCTCCGTCGCAACTCAATTATGGGAGATGATGTCTGATTAAGTTGCTGAGTTGTGCTCTGACCGACTGACGGGCCAGGAGTGGGAGAGATATGGGCATCATTGAGGCTGCATGTGTCCATGTTGGTGTTTGTGGGATTATTAATACATGGAGGGGTCGACTGTCCAGAGTCTGCATTAGGGGCCACCAATTGGTGGGAGTTGGCAGGGGCGTATGGTGTGCATGGGGTGATGAGGTTGGTGGTTGAATTTATTTCTTCACCCTCCATGTGAGGTTTGTCCGTGAGTTGGTACACTCCAGAGGCTGGCATAGGGAAATGGTGGGATTTGTGAAGGTGATAAGGTGTGGGCCTTTGGTTGGCAGTACACGAAGGATGAGCATCTGGGTCCACAATTTTGTGATAAACTTCATCAACGGCAATATGAAATTCTTTATCAGTGTGAGATATTGCTTTGAACGGAAATTTATCCTCAAAAAATGTAACATCCCGAGAAGTGTAAATACGAAATTTCTGCAAGTCAAAAACCCGATAAGCCTTTTGTCCATGAGGATAGCCAATAAATATACACGGGCTCCCCCTCTCACTAAACTTGTCCTTTCTTTTATTGTCATGAGCATATACCAAACATCCAAATACTCGTAAATGGTCGTAGCTAGGCATCCTTTTGAATAAAATCTCATACGGGCTTTTATTATTAATGACAGATGACGGTAATCTGTTAATAATATAAACGGCAGTGAGAATGCATTCTCCCCAAAAAGTGATCGGTAGGCCTGATTGAAAACGCAGCGCCCTAGCTACTTCCAGAAGGTGTCGATGTTTGCGTTCCACTACCCCATTTTGTTCTGGCGTATCGGTGCAAGATGTTTCCACGAGTATTCCGATCTGTTTGTAATAGTCTAACAAGACATCAGTTCGAAATTCTAGTCCATTATCAGAACGCACACGTTTGACTTGTTGCCCAAACTGATTATTTGCCATATTGCAAAATTGTATCAGAAATTGGGGAACTTCAGATTTATTTTTCATGAGGTAAACCCAAGTTCCTCGAGAAAAATCATCAACAATGGTTAGAAAATAGCGTGCACCGGTAATAGAATCACATTTGTATCCTCCCCATATGTCACAATGGATTAATTCGAAACAATGGGTAGATTTATTTGTACTAGTAGGAAAGGGAAGACGAGTCTGTTTGGCTCGCACACAAGGGTCACACAAATTATTCTTGATTTTCTGGAGTCCCTGAAGAGTAGAGATATGATGTAGCTTCGCATCTGAGGCATGTCCTAAGCGTCGATGCCATAATTCAAAATCAAGAGAAACTGACATTGCCACCCCTACACTCTTGGGAGGATCCAGATAATATAGGCCATCACGAAATTTACCCACTCCAATCAGCTTCTTCGAGGGTAAGTCCTGTAAAATACAAAAGTCCCCAAAAAATATTAGTGTACAATTGAGGTCATTAACAAGACGGCTAACTGAGAGCAAATTGCACTCAAACTGCGGAATATATAAGACACGGCTAAGATGGAGTCCATTGGGTAAATAAAGGCTTCCAACTGCTCGAACTGGAATTGATTCTCCATTAGGGATTTTAACCGGCGGTTCACAGGCATGAGTCAAAATTTCAACGAAATTATCACCTTCACATGTGATGTGTTCAGTCGCTCCGGAATCAATTATCCAAGGGCGGACACATGATGATGTACCTGCCATATTTGCTTGGGCACTAGATGAGGAAGGTTTTTCAATAATTTCAGTTTTTATATATTGAGCAATCTGTTCCAATTGTTCAGCCGAGAGTCCCGGTGGTATGGCATAATCAACATGAGCTGCTCTTGTTTGCCTCGGATTGCCACGCTCAAAATTTGTGAAACGCGGTCGGGGATGTATTTGGTTACTGCCACGTAACTGGAAGCTTGGTTGCTCTTTGTTTCCACGGATATCCTGCTGCCGCCCCTCTCCCTGTTTGTTGCCTTTTAATTTAATGCTCCAATTAGGTGGGTAACCATTTAACTCAAAACAATGCTCATACGTGTGGTTTGTCTTCCCACAGTGTGAGCAAGAACGATTTCCTCTCAAATTTTGACGTCGGTTCAAGTCAATTTCTCCTTTGGCCTGGACTTGAAATGCTATGCCATCAACACTTGGTTTGCGAGCGGATGCAATAGACCGATGTTGTTCACTCTCCGAGATAAGATGATATGCAGCGGTGAGTGTGGGAATCGGCCTTGTAGCTAGAATTTGGGTCTTCAGTTGTCCGTATATATCATCTAGACCCATTAGGAAGTCATAAAGTCGATCCCTATCCTTGGACTCATTGATCTGCTTAGAAATATTACAAGAACACTTTCCACAATCACAATTTGGGCCGGTGTTGATAGAAGCCATTTCGTCCCAAATTCGGCGCAATCGACTAAAGTAGGCAGAGACGGACTGATTGTCTTGCCTAACGGCACTGAGCGAGCAACGAAGTTCATAGGCTCGTGGAGCACTCTCCTTTCCAAAACGTTCCTCCAAGTCGGTCCAAATTTCACGTGCGGTTTTGAACTTGACGCTTTGGCGAAGCTCAATCTCCATGCTACCGTTTAACCAAGCCTTAACCATGGCATTTGCACGTTGCCAATATGGAAGGTATGGTGAATCCGGTTTAGGCATTGGAATATCTCCATTAACAAAACCAAACTTGTTCTTCGCATAGAGGGCATTGCTCATTTCATCGAGCCAATCGCCGTAATTCCCGTCGCGAAGAGGAGTGGTAACATAGACATCTCCGGGCTTATCTCCGGATTGAATAAAATAAGGTGACATAGAATCTATGACGATGCCGGCGGGTTCATGTCGGGTATCGACGGTTTTGCCATCATCAACCATGGCTTAGAAAGAAGGGTATATGTATGTGTAATTTCTAAATACTCTCAAGAAGATGAAGGTAGCTAAAAGATATACTCTACTTCCAGGATTTCGTCTCTGATACCATGTTAAAATAGGAATGCAACAAGTAGAAAATTGAGTTCATCTCAATTGATTAAGAACTATCACACACTGCTACAAGCATAAATAAATCTCATGCGTAGGTTTCTCTTATACAAACATGAGGTGGGAGAGCTTACATATATATGTGAGTGGGTGCATGAATTTACATGGAAATGGGCAAAGTATGGGTCCCAATATAATAATGATTGTACAACTATGTAATATGAGCAATAATATAGTGACATACGTATATAACTAGTTGTAATATTAATATAATAAAATATATAAAACTCAATATTTTAAACCAACAGAATTTACATTGATTGATGGAAATGGGATATACGGTGGTGCTTGCGTTACAGGTGTTTTGAAGATGACAGGGAGGAGGGACACAACTAGAAGCACCTCATTTGCCAGTTCATCGTGACTCATCTATCATCCGCATTTTCATGAGTTAGGCCTCGGGCGGGCGGGCGGGCGGGATTATTACTGTTGGAGTGGACCATTAATTAATTGATTGATTGATTAGTTAGTTAGTACAGTAGATCGATGTGTACAGCTCAAAATTTGCACTTCTTTATTTAATTATTTAATACTACTTCCGTTCCTATTAAAACTTCCAAATAGGTTTGACACAGAGTTTAAGATAGTGGGTATTGTGTGGTGGAGAGTTGTGCAGAGGAGAGAGAAATGTGTAAGAAATGTTGTGAACCACAAATTCTTTACTAAAAAGGGAAAGTGGAAGTTTTAATTGGAACGAATGAAAAAGGAAAGTTGGAAATTTATTTAGGAACGGAGGGAGTACCTACGTAGCTTAATAGCAGCAGCGTGCAGGTATTCATTCATCAGCCATATTTGATGTACATACCCTTGTACACACTTTATACACACCATGTATGTGAAGCTTTTTTTTGTCTATGAATCCGGTTCACAAACAATACTCCCTCCGTCCCGGAAAATTAGTCCCACTTTGACTTGGATCGGAGTTTAAGAAAGTGGGAATAAAGTGGAAATGTATGGTTGTGGTTGAGTAAGAAAAAGGCAAATGAATGTTTAGCCACACAAAACTTTCCAAAAAGGGAAATGGGAACAATTTTTTGGGACGGCCCAAAAAGGAAAATGAGACTTATTTTATGGGACGGAGGGAGTATTTTGTTTGTGCAAAACATTATCTATGAATCGATGTTCACAGACAAAAAAAACTTTCACAGACATATGTGTGTACAAAAGTGTGTATAACAGTGTGTACAAACATCATTTTTGTTCATTCATACTTCAGGTGTTATTTTCTTCGTTATACTCCGTATTTCATTATCGTCACCAACCCCACTTGCATCTGGGATGTCAATGGGGCGGGGTTGGGGTGGAGATTTACTCCCCACCCCATTTCTAAAAAATCCCCCACCCCCGTCCCATCCCCCACTACAATTCAACCGCCCATCCGTGCCTCGACCCACTAGACTCATGGGTACCCAATCGGGGAGATAATCGTAAAAAATTAACGTCATTTTAGACCCTCACAATTTTTCAAAATTTAAACAACACTTCTAATAGTCAAAAATCTTTTTAGTTTTTAAGTGTCGATGTAATTTTATATCCCTTTCTAAATCTAGAACACATTATACGTGTTTTGATTGATTTTTTTTTTCAACAACTTTATTAGTATTGATTAACTCTATAATGTTGACAACATCTAAGATGACATATGGTCATCAGATATTTAAGAGTTCTAACTACAATTATAAAGATGGTATCCCTAAGAAAAGAATTAATGCACTGTAATAGTAAAGAAGAAAACATTCACATTGTGTCTGAGGCTCACTTAATGTGAAGGGTACGAGTAGGGGAGAGCGTCAGACGGGTTCGGGTAGGACGGGTTGGGTTTTGCATACCCTTTTGGTTATCGAGCTGAGAATATAAAATCCTACCCCGTCCAAAATATATTTCGGGCTAATCGGGTTGCACAATTTCAGATTTGGGTTGGTTTTAATCGGTTCTCGAGGCCATTCGGGCTGACTAAAATTCATTAAAAACATAACATGAATAATTCATAAAATCACCTTGAAAAAAAATTTGTACAATTAAACTTTACAAACACAAATAAAATACATAATAATATGTTATCAAAAGCAATTGCAAAATTAGTAGAGTTTGTACAACTCCAAATACATGGCTAATAGTTATAAGTTTATAACTTATACACTTATACACTCATACAGTCACACACATTACTCCAATACTACTTGATACTTACTTATACACTTACACAGTTATATTGTTTATGCACAAAGCATTTTAACATTTAGAGTTTGAGCAATCAAATGTTCCAAAACAGCAAGTACCAACAAAAAGTTTAACAACATTCAATTGATGTACAAGTCTTCGGATCTTGACTCTTGACATCTACTTGAGTAACTTGACTACTAGAGTGTTTCCCGAATTTCAGGTTTGATCAATTTCGCAGATCATCAATCAAACAGTCATTGATTTTGTTCCTATGTAAGTCACAAGCACATTAGTATCATAAAACACTAAACTGTACTGGGAACTTGGGAAGTGGGAACTATAAAAAATTTAAAAGTATATAGAAATACGATAAGATTTGACTCAGATTTAATTTCAGTTCACTAATAATGGGGGCATTAATCACTATATAATTAGAATCAACACCAAACACATTTATTTCATTTTCTGGTAAAACTGTAGAAGGCTAGAAGCTATCCTCATTGCCAAAGTAACTAATTGAGTAAACAATTCATGTAAGAACTCATAATTCATAAGTACATAGGAAAATTGCAGTAGTAAAACCAAGGCAGCAAGCAGCATATCCTTAATTTGACTTAGTTTTGTATTCTTAATTTAATTTTTTTGGTGGAAACTATCATCACTGATTAAATAATGCAACAATTAATCTAATAAGTCAGAAGTCATAAATACATATGCATAAGCAAATTCCAGTTTACTATCTAAGTGACAGCATGTATCTTGTTATATTTGGCTCAGATTTAAATTTACTTCACTATTAATGGAGGCATACGAAACTATATGAAAATAGAATCAACACCAACCCATCAATTTCATTTTTGGTGGAAGCTATCATCATTGTCAGATACATGCTACACTTAATCAATTAACTCAATGTTCACATTACCAAATTCCATTACTTCCATTAAGGCAGCATGTATGTTGTTATTTTTGGCTCAGATTTAAATTGACTTCACTATTAATGCGGGCATACGAAACTATATGGAAATAGAATCAACACCAACCCATCGATTTCATTTTTTTTGGAAGCTATCATCATTGCCAGATACATGCTACACTTAATCAATTAACTCAAGAGTGAAAGAAGATTACCATGTCTTGTTGTACAAAGTCCAAACACAGTAATTAGGAGAAATTGTACCAGTGAATCAGCAACACTTCCAATACCATGACAACAACATGGTTAGGCTTTTACAATCAGATCATTGACAGAAGCATAGCAAATCATTAGTGAAACAATTTATTACATATCTAAAAGATAAAGGTAAAAAGTATACTACTATCTGATCAAGAGAAGGGCCTCCACCAACATTGCCATAAGTTAATTCTGCATTGAAAACAATAAGAAGTTAACAATATGTATAAATATAAACACTGAATAGTAATGATGGAGTATATGGGTCTGAGCCCCAGGACCCACATACTCGGAAGAACAGAAAGCACAAGACAACAAGAGTGGCGCCCTCGTCTGCCAATACGCCCCCGTCGGCCGAGAAGAAGCCAACTCGGATTGTGGTCCTGAGTCCAAGGAACCCGGGTGCCCTCGTCGGCCGTGCCCTCGTCGGCCGTGCCCTCATCGGTCGCGCCCTCGTCGGCCAAGAAGACCTCCCAGAATCAGATTCTATACTTGCTCATTTGTACAGCCCATTAGAGGCTTTGTATTCGGCCCAGTAGCGGTCCAGTTGTAAATGGGCCTCCCAAGCCCAAGGCTTGGGAGCCCAACCCTAATTTTCCCTATAAATACTCCCCTTGGGAGTAGTTATAGGGGTGACGAATTCATTCTATTGAAGCATATTATTGCACTTCTCTCTCTAGCTCTCACTTCTCTCTAGATATACTCTATCATTTGGTGCTCTCGTTGAGAGCTAGAACAATCAAGTTAGCACCCTTCGTCTCTACCAAGCACAGCTAACCACTGATCATGGGGAGAACTAAGTCAAACCGCAACCTCGTCAGCAAAGTCATCCCTGAGGACCAGGAGCCCAGGGAGCACGATGAGGACGCCACGGCCGACCAGGTCGGCGGAGGGGACCTCTTCCAGGAGGCCTTCAACCTCACGACGGACCTCCGCAACCAACTCAACGGCGGAGTCCCCGACGCCCGCCTCGGCCTGGAAAAGAAACGAGTTGAGAAAGCGGACCACGCCCCGGCCCAGCCTATGGCCGCGGCCTCTCCGTCCGTAGATCCTCAGGTCCAGGCCGCACTATCGGCTATCATCGCCAGCTTGGCTCAGAATCCCACCGTCCTCAGCGCACTCTTGCCAAGGACCGGGGGAAACGTCACTCCACCTCCTCATCCCCAACCGTTGGCCGTCCAGATAGGCAACAATAAGGGGGTTGTGGCCCAGGACACGGCGTCGTCCCACTCCCACCCTGCTCCTCCTCTTCGGCCCGGGCAGACCTTAGCGCGTGGAAAAGCCTCTGCCTTCAATAGGCTGGGTGACACGCGCCGTCGTCCGGTTTCGGAGAGGATGGCGGGACGGATTGGTGATCCTCGTCCTGGCTCGCCGAGGGAGAGTTTGGGGTCTGTGTCCCGGACAGCGGACCAGCCCCGCCCGGACAAGGGCAAGGGGAAGTTGCACGAGGATGACGTGCGTCACCAGATCAACGCGGCTCACAACGAGCGCCTGAGGAACCAGCCGGGTGCCGCCGCGGCCGACAGGGACCCCCGGGACGAGGTCATCGCCCAGCTGGAAAGGAGGTTGGCTCAGATGGAGGCCAAGCAGTCGGCCAACATCCCTACGACCGGCGCCTCCAACGACCCCGGCCTCAACGCGCTCATGAACAAAGTCAGCGCCCTGGAGAGGGAGCTGGCCGAAGGGCGAGGTGACCCCATCATCCAGGTCAGGACTAGGACCCCTTTCACCAACAGGGTCCTCTCGGCCCCCATCCCTGAGAAGTACAGGGGGAACGCCATCAAGTCCTACGATGGCCGATCAGACCCCCAGGAGCACTTCAGCCGCTATCAAAACAACATGCTGATGGTGAACGCGTCCGACGAATACCTTTGCCGTTGGTTCCTCTCTACTCTCGAGGGGCCAGCGTACGAGTGGTTCAACGGACTGCCAGAAGGAAGCATCGACTCATGGCAGGATCTCGCCCAGCGCTTCCTCACTCACTTTGCCGGGAGGAAACGCGCCATGAAGTATTTCACCCACCTCCTCTCCGTCAAACAGCAGCACGAGGAGTCCCTCCGGTCATTCATCGACCGGTGGACGAGGGAGACCGAGGAGGTCAAGGGGGCCGATGAGCGCACCCTCCTCGCCTTGTACCAGGGAGCCCTCCGCAGCTCCCCTTACGCCAGGAGCCTCATCACTGACCCCCCGAGGTCGTACGCCAAGGCGCTCCAACGCGGAGGCTTGTATGCCGACGCCGACGAGCTACACAATCACAAGAGAGAGGGGGGCCATCCCCCCAAGAAGACAAATCCTTCGCCGGCCTCGGGTCCGTCCCCGGCCGGCCAGGGTGCCCAGGGCCGCCACGGCTCTGGTGGACAAAGTAAGAAAGACCGTCACTGGCGGCCGAGGCTGGAACGGCCGGGGGTAGCCCTCACCCACCCGGTCGGCACCATCCTCGATTATGCCGAGAAGCACGGCCTCATCGAGCAGGCTCCTCGGCCGGCCGAGGAGATCCTGGCCATCCAGCAGGGCGGCACGTACTGCCGGTTCCACAAGAACTCGTCGCACAACACCGACGATTGCATCACATTGAAGAAGGCCATCGAGCGCCTTATTCGCCAGGGGGAACTCTCCCAGTTTGTCAAAGGTGGCCCACGAAAAAACACTTGGGTAAACACCGGCAAACGTGGGGGCGAACCCTCTGCGAAGAAGCGCGAGATTGGTAGGTTCAGCGACGACGAGGACTTCGAGGAGCCTCCGCCGAAGAAGAATCACATCCACCTCATCGTAGGCGGGAACACTGGGGGGGACTCCACCACTCAGAGGAAGAAATGGGCCCAATCCCTTTACATTGGAGAGGTGTCCCACGTTCCCCCCCAGCCGAAGAAGCAGCGAACGGAGGCGATCACCTTCACCGACAAGGATCTGCCTCCGGGTACGGAATCACACAGGGACGCCCTCGTCATCCGATGTGAGATCGGTGACTCCATCATCCACCGCACTTACATCGATACGGGGAGCTCCGTCAACGTGATGTACCTAGACACCTTCAAGCAGCTGAAGCTGGACAGAGCTCTGCTGAAGCCGATCAAGACCCCGTTATCCGGCTTCACCGGGGACTCTATCGACGCCGAGGGCACGATAGTCCTCCCCGTGGAAGTCGGTGACGGCCCCCGCCATGCCCAAATTGACATGGAGTTCATGGTGGTCAACCTCCAGTGCGCCCACAACCTGATCTTGGGCCGGCCAGCGCTGGAGGACTTGGAGGCCATCATCTCCATGAAGCACCTATGCTTGAAGTTCCCCACCAATGACGGCATCGGCTACGCCAGAGGAAATCAGAGGATAGCCAGGGCTTGCTACCTCAAGCTGACGAGGCCGGCCGAAAGGGAAGGACAGCGGATAGACACCATCACGGCCGCCGTCGCCATGGACGAGGAGAGGCCACGTGCGGAGCCGGCCGAGGAGGTCGAGGAAATCCCTCTGGATACCTCCCGGCCGGAGCGGGTTCTCAGGGTCGGAAAACAACTCCCCCAGGACCAACGAGACGCCATCCTCCTCGTCCTACGGTCATACGCCGTTGTCTTCGCGTGGGGCCCGGACGATATGCCCGGCATCAGCCGCCAGGTGATCACTCACCGGCTGACCGTCGATCCGGCCTCCGCGCCCGTCAAACAGAAGCGGCGCTACTTGTCCGCTGACAGGCGGGACTTCGTCAAAGGGGAGGTCGCCATGCTCCTATCGATCAAACATATCAAAGAGGTGAAGTACCCAACATGGTTGGCCAACGTCGTCCTCGCACAGAAACCGCCGACGTTCAGAATGTGTGTTGACTACACTGACCTGAACAGGGCGTGCCCCATGGACCCGTTCCCTCTCCCCAACATTGATCAGTTGGTGGACGAGACGGCGGGGTGCGAGTTGATGTCGTTCCTCGACGCTTTCAGAGGGTACCACCAGATCTCCATGCACGAAGATGACGCCGAGAAGACGGCATTCATGACCCCAGAGGGAATATTTTGCTACCTCGTCATGGCCTTCGGACTCAAAAAATCCGGCGCCACCTATACTAGGATGGTGGCCAAAATCTTCAGAACGGTCCTTGGCCGGACGATGGAGGCGTACGTCGACGACATGATCGTCAAGAGCAGGCAGGCCACCTCCCACGCCGACGACCTCCGGGAAATCTTTGAAATCATGAAGGAGTTCAGGCTCCGCCTTAACCCCAAGAAGTGCGCCTTCGGCGTCCAGGGCGGCAAGTTCCTTGGCTACATGGTCAGCCGAAGAGGCATCGAGATAAACCCGGAGAAGACGCAGGCTATCATCAACATGGAGCCGCCCCGCAACGTCAAGGAGGTACAGCGACTGACGGGGCGCCAGGCGGCCTTAAACCGGTTCCTCTCCAAGTCAGCTGAGAGGGCGCTCCCCTTCTTCCAGATCATGCGCAAGGCAACCAGCTTCAAGTGTACGACGGAGTGCCAGGAAGCATTCAACGAATTGAAAAGGTACCTGTCGTCCCCACCCGTACTCTCCAAGCCCAAAGCCGGCGAAACCCTCTTCCTGTACTTAGGGGTGAGCACGTCGGCCATCAGCTCCGTGCTCATCCGTGAGGACGAAGGGGTGCAGAAGGCCATCTTCTACATCAGCAAGACACTTAGGGAGGCCGAGCTCAGGTACTCCCCCATTGAGAAGACGGTGCTGGCCATCGTCCACACCGTGAAGAAGCTGGGGCACTATTTCCAAGCCCACACCGTCCATCTGCTGACCCAGCAGCCTCTCGGCGCGCTCATGAGGAGCCCCACTAGCTCCTCGAGGATGGTGAAATGGGCGATCTTCCTCAGCCAGTTTCAAATCGAGATCAAGCCAAGGCCATCTATCAAAGGGCAAGCCTTGGCCGACTTCGTCATCGAATGCACAGCAAGGGAGACGGCCGTCGCCAACCCCGGGCCGGAGCCGGACGACACGTGGACCCTGTTCACTGACGGCTCGTCGGCCGCGAAATCATGCGGCGGCGGCGTCGTCCTCATATCCCCTGAAGGATTCAGAGCCTACTATGCCATCCGCTTCAACTTCAGGGTATCCAACAACGAAGCTGAGTATGAGGCCCTCCTCAGCGGTCTCAGACTCGCCGCCGGCCTCAAGGCCAAGCACCTCAGAATCAAGTGCGGCTCCAAACTGGTAGTGGGCCAGGTGGAGGGATCGTACGAAGCAAAGGAAGGCCGGATGAAGCAGTACAAACAAGCGGCGGAGGAATTGCTGAAAGCGTTTGAAACCCACGAGATCACTCAGATCCCAAGGGCCGAGAACGTCGAAGCCGACATCCTCTCCAAGCTCAGCTCGGACACCCCGGAGCACATCTCCCAGTTGGCCAAGATCGAGGAATTGAGCATGTCCAGCATCCATGCCAGCCCCGTCTTGTGCGTCCAACAGCGACCAGAGGACTGGATCTCCGACATCGCCACCTTCATCACAACGGGGGAGTTGCCCCCGGACGAGGAGAGGGCCAAACTCGCCAAACTCAGGGCCCCAAGTTACACCGTAGAAGATGGCAAACTCTACAAACGGTCCTACAATGGCACTCTCCTCCGATGCCTGCACCAGGACGAGGCCGACACCGCCATGGAAGAAGTTCACTGTGGCGTCTGCTCCTCGCACCAGGGTCCTTTCAGCATGTCCCGGCGTCTCGTCGTCCAGGGCTTCTTCTGGCCAACGATGGCACGGGACTGCGCTGACCTGGCCAGGAAGTGCACCACATGCCAGGTACTCCAGAAGGCCCCTGGTCGGCCAGCTGTCAACTATGCCCCTGTCAGCACCGCAATTCCATTCTCCAGATGGGGGATTGACCTGGTCGCCCCCCTGCCTAGAGCCGCCGGGAATAACCGCTACATCATCGTCGCCGTCGACTACTTCACCAAGTGGATCGAGGCGGAACCTTTGGCCAGCATCACGGGGGCCAGATGCCAAAGATTTGTTTACAAGAGCATCATTACACGCTTTGGCGTCCCCCAAGAGATTATATCAGACAACGGCACCCAATTCGAGGCAGCCCCTTTCCAGGAGCTCCTCCGGGAGTTTGGGGTGAGGCACCGTTTCTCCTCCGTTGCCTATCCTCAGGGCAACGGGCATGTCGAGAACGCCGACAGAACAATCATGGAGGGGCTGAAGAAGAAACTCCAGGCCGCAGGAGGTAGTTGGGTCGACGAGCTCCCCAACATCCTGTGGTGCTACAGAACCACGCCGAGGAGGGCGACGGGTGAAACGCCTTTCGCCCTGTGCTACGGCTTTGAAGCAAAGGCGCCTACGGAAGTTGCCATCCCCAGCTGACGGGTGGAACAATACGAGCCCGACGCCAACGAGGAAAGCATGAAGATTGACCTGCACCTGGTCGATGAGAGACGTGAGCAAGCTTACGTCCGAGCAGAGAACTACCGGCGTCAAGTAAAATCATACTACGACGCCAAGGTACGTTCCCGGGAATTTCAGGTGGGGGACTACGTCCTCCGCCGAAGGGAAGCAAGCCAGCCGACAGAGGGTGGCAAACTAGCATTGAAGTACGAAGGGCCCTACATCGTCAGTGCCGTGGTCAAACCCGACACCTACAAACTTAAACGACCAAATGGGTCCAACGTACCACGAACATGGAATGTACATCATCTGGTGAAGTTTTATCAGTAATCCGGAGGAGGTGTAGACGGCGAAGCCCTCACCCCTTAACGGGTTACTGATTGAACGCCACCCTCGGCCTCGAGCCACTTATGAATAAAATCATGTTCTGATTTTTTCTCTGGAATTTAAAGAAAAACATTAGCAGGTGCCCTCGTCGGCCACCTTAGAGCGAAAGGCTCAGGTCTGGCCGACATGGCCCCTTGCATTTGCAGCCTACGAGCGACAAGCTCAGGCACTCCATTGTATTTTGTATCAGCGAAGGGCTCAGGCCTAGCTGAGAGAGCACATCGTCCTGGCCCCGTAAGCCTAGAAGTGAAACACTCAGGTATGGCCGACGATGTCCCCAGGACGAGGGGCCCGCAAACGGCCCACGTCTTGAAACGGGAAGCTCACCGCGTCGTCCACGCGCCAGATCGCAGGACGACAGGCCTGAAATCATGGCCGAGGTGACAAAATCCCAAAACTCAGGGTTGGGCAACGACAGCCGTTGGAAACCGACCAAAAGTCTAGCCCGCGTCATAAATAGGCGACAGGACCCGCCCTGAGATCACGGACGTTATAAACGAAGTCCGAACCGGCCGAAGGACGAGCACACCCTTCGGCCGAAGCCTGAAAGAAGGATACCCCCGAAACAAAAAAAAAAGACATACAAGGGAAAAAGAGGGAAGCCGACGGCCGCGCATACTAGCCGGCCTCGAGCAATGAAACAATAAAATCCCCACAACTCAGGCCCAACTAGGCCAAGTACATATCAGTTGAACACACGTTTAGTACCACTGACAGGCAGCATGGACGACACGTCCACACACCACGAGGGAACAATCAAGGCCGATACACACGCCTATAAAACCCTAACCACATCGGTTGGGTGACACGCGAGAGGTGACCTTCATCGGCCATAGTCCTTTGAGGCACCAACGCTTGGTATGAAACCAAACATCGCAATCCTGAGGATGACCAGGACGAAGCGGGCACTCATCACACCCGCGAAAGGAACAAGCAATCAAGAAACAACCTCTACTTGCCACAGCACCTCGGATGGCCGACGCAGGCACTGGAACCATAGCTAGCCGACGAAGACAGGACCATCTCCTTGGACAAGCTATTCCTTATCCAGCACCCTCATCGGCCACAAGCCAGACCTTGGCCGGCAGTGGCACCGCGAAGAAGTAAATTCCTAACATTTATACTTAGGAAATTATCTAAGTACTCAAATGAAGGAATTCTAGCCGAAGCGGGTACCAGTATATTACAAAGCCGTTAGCTACCTACACCTCCACATGTGTACTTGTGAAAAATTCAAAGTCCACGAGACTATGGTGAAGGTGCCCTTATCGGCCAGAACACAGGGATACAAGCCGACAACGGCCATGGCCAAAACACCTGGGATGAATCCAAGGCCAGGACGATAAGGACGCCAACGCTTGGACGGAACGGACATTACGGTCAAGGCTAAAAAGGGAAGCACCTAAAAGGAATCCAAAACACTTAGGAAATTTTTTGAAAAAATCCTAAGTGTTATGATGGCAAAGGAACACCGGTCAAGCCGACAAGGCCACCAGGCCGAAAGGAAAGCACCTAAGTGGATCCCAGAACACTTAGAAATTTTTTTGAAGAAATTCCTAAGTATAATGAAACTACGTCCAAGCCGATCAAGCCACTAGGCCGTAAAGACAGCAGTTACATGGACCCAAAAACACTTGGGAAATTTTTGATACAAAATCCTAAGTGTTATGACAAAGCAAAGAGGACGACCAGACTATTGGACAGGAAGGCCCACCTTACGGACGTAGCGGACACTCGCGGGTGACCCAAGTTATGACTCAACACTGACAATTTACAGAATTGAAATGATAAAGGCAAACAAGCATACAATGGATTCAAAGCCGAGAAGGATGGCAAAAATTCTTTCATTAATCAATTCATTACAATGGGGGCGCTTCGGCCGTTACATAATTTGGCAATAAATGAAAAGCTAATTACAGTAGGGATAGCCGATCAAGCCTTCGGTGCACCTTCATCCGCGGCGGGCTCTTCAACCTCGTCGGCTCCCTCCTCGTCGGCCTCATCGGCCTCAGCTTCTTGGCCGGCAGCGGCGCTGGTGGCATCGTCTAAGAAATCAAATTCAGTGTAGTCCGGCTCGCCGAGAACGGAGCTTTCTATGGGGGACTCTCGCTCCGATAGCGGAAGCTTGGCCTGCTCTTCTGGATCCTTCATCAGCTTCGGCAGCTTCAGGTTCCGTCTAGCCCACCCAGATAATTCATGGCCTTCAACGCCCGGGATAGCCGCCGACACAGGAGCCTTTGCATCCGCTCCTGGCCCAGGTTGTAATAAACGGACATCTCCCGGCTGAAATATTCCCGGCCGGCAGGGGAGTTCATCCCCCAATTCTCCAGCCTGGCGGCCACCACTTCGTAGCACCAGGGGAGCCTCTCATCGGCCTTCCACCCCTCGGCCAGGAACTTCTCGACGGCCTCATCGGCAGCCTTCACGACGGCGGCCTCGGCCTCAGCCTTCGCTTTGGCGGCCTCCTCGTTCCTGCGCCTCTCGGCCTCGAGCGCCCTTCGGGACTCCTCGAGCTCCCTTTTGCTCTCCTCGAGCTTGACCAGGGCATCGTCCCTGGCCGCGGCGGCTTCATCAGCTTTGGCCTGCAGCGCCTTGGCATCCTCCCGGAGCCGGTCAAGGCAAGCTACCGCCTCGTCGGCCGAGGCAGCCTTCTGCTCCAGCGCCTGCAGACGAGCAATCTCCGAGTACTGCCTCTTATGGCTTTCCATAAGCATGAAGGCACTCTGCAGAAGGAAAACAAAAGTCAGGCAAAAAACTCTACACAGACGAAGAGAGACAAAAATATAAGGACAGTCACTTACTTGGACGAGGAGGTCCATGCCGCCCTCATAAATCTTCGGGTCCTCAAGCTTCTTCAAGTGAGCCCGATCTTTGGCCGGCATGGCCTTGGCCAGGACGACGTGGCCGGGGACGAGATCATTAAACACGCCCCCGCCGACGGGGTACTCTATCACCTTCTGATAGGTGGCACCAGCAATCTCCTTGCCGGCCCTCTGCGTCCGTGGTTCCTGGACGAGAGGAAGCGCTGGGGCGGCATCGTCAACAACAGTAAGGTCCACGACGGGACCACCATCGCCCACGCTGGGGACAGTAAGAGTACCGGCCTCACTAGCCGGAGAAGGGGAAGGATCCCTCTTCGTCTTCTTAGAGACGTTCACGCCGGCCTCAGTCAGCTTTTTCTGGCCGTCACTGGCCGGTCTCTTTTTCTTTGATGGGGCAGGCTTTGGGGCCGCATCAGCAGTAGCCCCGCTCCCACCAGCAGCGGCACGTCGGGCCGCCTCGGCCGCCTTAGCAGCAATCTCCTCGGCCGCTTTGGCCTTGGCAATAGCCATCATGGATCGACGGTCCATGACAAAATCTACAAAGGAAAAACACAAACAAATTAGTAAGGCAAAGGACAAAACATAAAGACAGAAAGCCGAAGAAAGAATTACCATCGGCCTCAGCAGGAATGCCCAAGTCCGGGCCGTCGGCCTCCTCAAAGGTGGTGGTCATCCTCGACCAGAGTTGGAGGTCATCCTCTTTGTCACCATAGACATAGTACCTCACGAAGCCGAGGGCGGCCATCTTGTACTCAGTGATGTAATCCTTCACGCTCCTCGGCCCCCCCTCCAAGAAAGCCTCCACCTGAGCGTCCAAAATAGAGCTCTTCGGCGGGTCGTGCAGGTTAAACCTCCCGGTGTGGCCGAGGGAGGGAAACTCGGTGCCACTCTCACCAATGGACACAAACACGAACTTGCTCTTCCACCCATGAATGGACGTAGGCAAATCCGTGAAGCTCCTCTTCTTCGGCAGCTGCTGAAGAGTAGCGTAGGCCGCACAGTTCTTGTGACTTCCTCGGCCTATCTGGTACAAATTCATGAATAGTGCCGTCGTCGGCTGGTAGCCCAACTCCTCACACGGAGCAGAAACCCCACCATCAAAGAGTAACTGTTCGGCGTCAGCAAGGCCGGAGGAAGCCCTACCATGTCCAGGTACTCAGTAATGAAAGGGTGAAGGGGGAACCTCAACCCCTTGGCAAAACTCATCGGGTATACTCCAAAGTACCCCGGTGGTGGAAGAAGAACATGGTCCGTCGGCTTGGGTGCCCTGACCCGCCCGAACGGCCCCACGTACATCTGGGCAACAAGGTAATCGGCCGCACTGCTCTCCGGCTTGATCAGGTAGATGTTGGTGAGATCTAGATAGGAGACGCCGGGCCCACTCTTCGGCCTCCTCACTCTCTTCGGCTTGGCGGCTCCCTTAACGGCGGACACCGGCCTTGGGCACGGAATGACAGCAGAAGTGGACGCCCCGTCCACCACTCGGGACGCACCCACGTCCTCACCCTTTGAAGAAGAGGCGGACCCCTCGTCCTCGCCTTCCTCGTCCATCAGCTCCGCGGATTTGTATGGACTTAAACGCTCTATCTCCTCCTCAAACTCCTCGAGCACCTCGTAGTCAAGCGACCTCGTGGAGGGCTGGTCGTCATAGGGGTAGTAGTCGTCGTTCAAGCTCTTCATTACTACTACTACGGGCTCAAGGAGAACAACTTAAGATCTAAAGGTGTTTAAACGCCTAACACTAGATCAACTACCTAGGAAGCAAAGTATGAAAAGCGAGGAAGATCGTGATGAACACTAACCTCGAACAACGAAGAACAACGAAGAACAGGCTTGGGAGTTTATCTCTCTAGAAAATCGGCCAGCACTTCGACAAATTCAGAATGCAAATGTGATTCCTCGTCGGAGGGGAAGAGGTATTTATAGACCCCCCCACCAACGGTCACTACACGTGGCACTCTCCCAATGGCCACATCAACGGCCACCAATGGGACGCCACCACGACACCAACGGGCCAGGCCCAAGCCACATCAACGGCCCACTGGCAAACCAGACTATACGGCCTACGCGCTCGCCGGCCTCACAAGTACCAGCTAGCGCCCATAACGTCCCATCTGCTTGCCAATATCACAAATGCCAGACAATAAGGAGACGACAACGGCCAGGAACGTAACGGGCACAAGATCAAAGGACCCAAGGGCCCAAAAGCCATCGGCTCCTCGTAAATAACCCTTGATGATAACCCTCTACAAGCGATCTGCGCACAAGGGTTCTCCCACAGGGTTACCTTGGCCAGAAAATCGCCATGAGGGTTGGATTCAGGGGGACTACGGCGAGACCGCTTCGGCCGGGGACTCAAGGAACTCCTTCACCCCTCACACTCTTCGGCCTGAAGCAGTGGGGGACTGGGGGACTACACCGGCCTCAACAAAACAAAAGAAAATGCAAACAAGGTAACCACAGAGCATGGCCACATCGGCCACGCATCACACTGCACCTCGTCGGTATGCACGCAACGTCATCTGCAACGGCCAACGGGTCACCAAAGGCAAGGACACTCATCGTCCTCCGCCAACAATTGACTTTGACGGGCTCTTCGGCCAAAAATACGAAGGCCAATCAGCAACGGCCAAAAGGAGTGCGCAAGCACCCTCATCGGCCACCCAAAGGAAAGGACGCCATCGTCCTCAAAGCAAGGAACGACCTCACCGGCCCAAACATAAACTTCAACCACCAACGTCCAGGAAAGGGAAAGCGCGCCTTCAACGGCCGACATCGGAACAAGACACTCATCGTCCTCAAAGGAATACGTCAAGGAAATGACGGCCTCCCCGCCCACAGCGAGGAGCAGGTAACGGCCAAAACCCATAACAGGATCACCGAAATGGAAACAGCGCCAGTACCGCAACGGCTAACGGCCTGAAAATGCCCGCGTCGGCCAAAAGCACAAAGCACAGAAATCTACTCTCCTTCACTTCGCCTACGTCTCAGCTTAGAGAGTGGGGGACTCCTGATGGAGTATATGGGTCTGAGCCCCAGGACCCACATACTCGGAAGAACAGAAAGCACAAGACAACAAGAGTGGCGCCCTCGTCGGCCAAGACGCCCCCGTCGGCCGAGAAGAAGCCAACTCGGATTGTGGTCCTGAGTCCAAGGAACCCGGGTGCCCTCGTCGGCCGTGCCCTCGTCGGCCGTGCCCTCGTCGGCCGTGCCCTCGTCGGCCGCGCCCTCGTCGGCCAAGAAGACCTCCCAGAATCGGATTCTATACTTGCTCATTTGTACAGCCCATTAGAGGCTTTGTATTCGGCCCAGTAGCGGTCCAGTTGTAAATGGGCCTCCCAAGCCCAAGGCTTGGGAGCCCAACCCTAATTTTCTCTATAAATACTCCCCTTGGGAGTAGTTATAGGGGTGACGAATTCATTCTATTGAAGCATATTATTGCACTTCTCTCTCTAGCTCTCACTTCTCTCTAGATATACTCTATCAAGTAAATAAGTAAAAGTTAGTACCTGTTTCCAGCCTTTCTACCTCCTCAATATTTTCTTCAACTGACACAGGCTGGTTTGACATCCTTAACCAATCTTGAGCACATATGAGGCTTTTCGGTTCGGGTTTTCGAGTTCAGGTCAACCGACCTAATCGGCTATAAGAGAGCAGACCCGATCGGGTTTTCGGGTGGGTTCGGGTTATGCTCACCCCTAGGTACGAGGGAGAGGGCTCTCAAAAAGCAACTTGAAAAGTTTTAGAGAAAAGGGTCAAATAAGGCCTTCTACTATTATGAAATAGTCACATAAGGTCATGTACTCAATAAAGTATCATATAAGTACATCTACTTGTATAAAACAATCAAATGAGTCATAACGGCTTATTTAACATCTCATAATCCCGGTTTTAGCTTACATGTCGATTTTTTGACTTGTATTTCAACCAATCTTAGTTAAATATTCGATGTATGCCGTATAATGTATTCTAAAAAGATGGTCAGAAGTACGTTGAAACCGGTATTAAGAGGTGTTAAATCGGTCATTAGGACTCATTTGATCATTTTCTACAAGTAGATGTACTTATATGACACTTTATTGAGTACATGACCTTATGTGACTATTTCAGAATAGTAGAAGGTCTTATTTGACCCTTTTCTCAAAGTTTTATGATAAAATAATGTAAGCCTCAACTTAGTTGTCTATAATGGATGTTGTGCCTCTTCTAGGTGTGCTTAGGGGTGGTTCGGTACGGTATACCGAATATTTTCTCTCATACCTTTGCCGTACCGAAACTTTCGGTATATGAAATTTCTATACCTTTACCTTACCGAAGTTTCGGTATACCGCATTTCGGTATACCGAAGTTTCGGTTCGGTAATGGTACGGTATCGGTAAATTACCATGCATGTCTCCCAATACAACAAATTATCATAGACTAACGAAATTTACTAAATCGGTGTTACTAGCGACATATTTAATCCATTATTAAAATGCTACACAATACAATTAATAATCAATTGATATCATATTCAATCTTGACCAATAATTATTATTAGTATATTTAAGCAGTTCAACATGTCACATAGTAAAAAATAATGCATTCTCCTAAAATAACTTGAACAATATAAACATACTTGTTGGGATATTGACCTAGAGGCCCAATACCCAGATCGGGAAGGCCCAAGGCATCCGGCCCAAGTAACAGGCCCATCACTCCATGATGAAAAGGTCCAGTAAGGAGACATACCGAACGGGGTTCGGCCCAAATAAAGGTTGGCCCAATAAGAAAACATACCGAATGAGGTTCGGGCTATATATCATACTTGGGCCAATTTGACAGCATCTTCAGTACGGACCAACATCCCGTTCGAACAACGGCCAACCAGCAAGTGGCCAGGTGCAGTTAATGCCAGACTATGACATCAGCAAGTGGAAGCATGGATGACCAAGTCGGTGGAACAACGGCTAATCAGCAAGAGGCAGCCCATGCTCTCCATTAGTATAAATAGAAGGTTTCAAGTCATTGTAAGGGTTAGATTTTCGATACTCAAGCTCTAGAATAGCATCATTTGCTCTTATTTCTTGTATTAAAGCATAGTTTCCGACTTACTGATCGGGAAATCTTTTGTAATCAGATTGGTTAATTAATACAAGTGGGTTTTCGAGTTCTAGTTAATTCAGATTTTATATTTTCTCACACACTTTGATTCTAGGCCATTCCTGATATATCCAAAGTTCGTGTTGGGCTTTCGGATCTACGGGACTTACCCTCAATATTGGCGCCGTCTGTGGGAAACTTGCAAAAAGTTTCACTTTCTAAACATCCAAAAAACCTCTATTTTTAAAAATGGTCAGAATCAATTCCTATCATACAAACGACGGTTCACACCGTCATGGGAGGAGTCACACCCCGGGGAGTCAAAACCCCCAGGGACAATCCAGTCGAGGATCCTATCCTCGCGTTAATGGGGATTTTGTGATCCCAGAATCTCTGAGGAGAAATCCTCAGGCCATGCGTGACATGGCCCAATTCATGCAGCACATGGCAAACGAAGAAGAAGGAGGTTCCAGCTTTACAGGAGAAACTCCACGCGCGGAAACGACCACAGCGTCATCCCGCTCACTTACCCATCGGGATAATCGACGTAGCGCCCCACCAGCAGCGCATCCCAGTCCCAGTGACCGAACCCCGGTCGGGTCGCAAGCTAGAGGACCAACTCCCGTCGGTCATCATTTCCAACATGCCGAGCGGGAAGATACTAGGGCCCCTCAGCGGCATTGGGACCGGGACTGTGCGGATGTGAGGGTTCCACCACCGCCCCCTCTGACGGCCCAGGAGGAAGAGATGGCCGAGATGAGGAGGCAAATGAATGAAATGCGGGACCAGATGAACAGGGTACCTGCACAACCTGCACCAGTCCAACTGGGGATTACTTCCCCGTTTACAAGGGAGCTCATGTACGCGGATTTCCAAGGGGGTGCCAAGCCCCACGACCGGCCAAATATATGATGGGGTGGGAGATCCCCACGTACATATGAGGAGTTACCAAGGTGGACTTATGCTGCTAGGAGCACCCGAGGCTGCCATTTGCCGTTTGTTTTTCAGCACGCTCAGGGGGCCTGCCCAGGAATGGTTCGGGACACTACAGCCCGGGTCAATCAATAGCTTTACCGAGTTATCAACGTTATTCTTGGCTCCATTTGCTTCCAGTGCCAATCCCAAACGGCACTTCAGCTATCTGACCAGCGTGAAGCAAAACGCCAAGGAGACCCTCAACCAATTCCTAAAAAGGTGGAGGGATGAAACTTTAACAGTGGGAAGCATGACGGATGATACCGCCATCACCCTGTTCACGAATGCTCTCCGAACGGGGGAGTTGTACAAAGAATTGAAGAAGAATCCGGGCACGGCGTACGCCGAAGTATTAGATAGGGCGCGCAAGCATGCCGCCCTAGAAGAAGAAATAATGATCAGGGATAAGGTCATTACGCCTGCTGCCCCGATCAGACTGGCTGATCGGCTGGGTCCTAGCCCAGCGGCCACTTTACCTCCCAAACAAGGGAGATTTACACCCCTGGTCCTATCAATAGCGGCCATCTATCAGAACGAGAGGGACAATATTCTCATCCCGACTGATTCTGGACAGTTCATGAGAACGGATGACAATGCTTTCTGTAAATATCACAACAGAAAGGGTCATGCCACCAATGCCTGCAGGGCCCTGCAAACAACAATTGAGGATCTGATCCGAAGGGGCCATCTGGGCAAATATGTGAACAAAGATCCGAATGCAATGGGCACGTTAAAACCGGCCAGGAAACCTAACAGCTGGCACCGGGATGCTCAACGTGACGCCCAGCCTCAGAATGATGTGTATGTTCCTCCCAGAGATGAGCCAGAGGGCTCGGGAGGCCCCGGAAAGAAGCCTCGAATGGAGGTCAAGGTCATATTTGGGGGCGGAGAGACCGGAGATTCGAACGCCGAACGGAAAAGGTTCGAGCGGAGTCTTTATGTGGGGTCCGTCTCCGCTCCCCCCCAGAAGAAAGGAAGGACAGACCCGATCACGTTCGGGCCAGCTGATCTACCCAACTCTCCAAGCCCCCACAGGGATGAACTGGTAGTAAGCATGTGTATTGACAATGCTTTAATCCGCCGAGTGCTGGTCGATACTGGGAGCAGTGTGAATGTATTGTATCTACAATCATTCGAGAAAATGGGTCTGCAAAGGAGCAACCTGACCCACCTGCGGACTCCACTGGCGAGTTTTACCGGTAACTGCATCAAGGCGGAAGGGACCATCCAATTGATGGTTGAAATTGGAGATGAAACCCACAGAGCGTCACTCCGAATGACGTTCGTGGTGGTAGACATAAAGTGCGCCCATAATGCCATTTTGGGCCGACCGGGATTGGAAGATCTGGAGGCAATAGCCTCTATCCGCCACTCATGCATCAAATTCCCCACAGACACTGGGGTAGGGGTGGCCAGAACTGACCCAACAACAGCCCGGACATGTTATCGGGAGGCCCTGAAACAGATGAACACTCGTGGGATGCGGGTGAATACAATTGAGGTGGAAACCCACCGAACGGAGTTCGAGGCATATCCGGAGCCCGCCACCCTTCTTGAACAAATCGACCTCGACTTTCCCCCGAACCGTAAGGTCGCTATCGGGGTAGATCTGGAGGCAGATATCCGGGATGGCGTGATTGCCGTCCTCAAAAAGTTTCAGGTGCTATTTGCCCGGGGGCCAGAAGATATGCTCGACATTGATCCAGAAATAATATGCCACAAACTTGCCGTTCGGTCTGATGCAAAACCGGTCCAACAGAAGAAACGATACCAAGCGACCGAACGGCGGGAATTCACCAAGAAGGAAGTGGCCACTTTGCTAAGGATAAAGCATATTCGTCCGGTAATCCACGTAGAATGGCTATCCAATGTGGTTCTAGCCCCAAAGCAATCTACCTGGAGAATGTGCGTGGATTACTCCGATCTCAATAAAGCATGCCCCATGGATCCCTACCCAGTGTCGAGGATCGATCTGCTAATGGATGAGACTGCTGGGTGCGAGTTACTGAGCTTCATGGATGCTTTCCGGGGTTATCATCAGATATTCATGCACCCGGCCGATGCAGAGAAAACGGCGTTTGTCACTTCGGATGGCGTGTTCTGCTACATCGTCATGCCATTCGGATTAAAGAACGCGATGGCAACCTTCCAGAGGATGATCGGGATGCTGTTTAAAGATGTACTGGGTGTCACAATGGAAGCCTACGTTGATGACATCCTGATCAAGAGCAAAAAGAAGGAAAACCATGTCCTGGACATAGAAAAGGTGTTCGGGATAATGCAAAGGGCGAATATGAGGCTCAATCCCAAGAAATGCGCGTTTGCTGTAAGAGGAGGCAAATTTTTGGGGTACATGATGAGCGAGAAGGGGATTGAGCCCAATCCAGAAAAAGTAAAGGCCATTGTGGGCATGGAGCCCCCGAGGAATCTCAAGGAAGTACAGAGATTGACCGGTCGGCTAGCAGCCCTGAGCAGATTCCTATCAAAACTGGCCGATCGAGCTATCCCGTTTTTCCAAATCATGAAGAAAGCCAACCCTTTCGAGTGGACGGCCGAATGCCAAACGGCCTTTGAGGATTTCAAGACATATCTGTCTTCCCCCCTGGTCTTGACAAAGCCCGAACCAGGGGAACATCTGTATATGTACCTGGCTGTAGCCGACTTGGCCGTAAGCACGGTTCTGCTGAAAGAAGAAGATGGCGTTCAACGGCCAATCTATTTTGTGAGCAAGGCGTTGAACGGCCCGGAAACCAGGTACACCTTGCTAGAAAAGAATATACTGGCCCTGATAGCTGCCATTAAACGCCTGGCCCCGTATTTCCAAACCCACCCGGTAACTGTATATACTACCCAACCATTATCCACCATCTTGAGAAATCCTATGGCAAGTGGGCGCATTACCAAGTGGAGTCTCCTGATCGGGCAGTACGAGGTAGATTTCAAACCCCGGCCTACTATCAAAGGGCAGGCCCTGGCAGATTTCATTGCAGAATGTACCGCCCGGCCCTCAGAAAAAGATTCAGAGAACGACGGGCTGGATAACTGGTGGGAAATGTACGTGGATGGAGCATCTAGTGCCAAAGGTTGTGGAGCTGGAGCTGTGATCACATCGCCCGAGGGGTTCAAAGCGTATTATTCCATTCATTTTGATTTCAAGGTGACCAACAATGAGGCTGAATATGAGGCTCTCATTGCTGGTTTAAAGTATGCAAGGGCCCTGGGCGCCGATCGGTTAAAAGTGAGATCGGACAGTCAACTGGTGGTACATCAAGTGAACGGCACGGCTGAGGCCAAAGAAGAAAGGATGAAGGCATACAAGGAAATGGTCGAGGAGCAGATACATAAATTTGAACAGGTGGTGCTCGACCAGATATCCAGAATCGAAAATACTGAAGCAGATATCCTGTCCAAACTAGAACATGCAGCGTTCGACGATCGGGCACAGGAGATCCCGGCTCATATCCAACGTTTTGCCCATCGGGAAACATTGGCAACCCCAACAATAATGGTTCTCCAGATCGAGGCCATATCTTACGCCATCCCGAGCTGGGTCGTGGATATGACCAACTACGTAAAAGACGGAACCCTCCCGCAAGATAAAAATCCTACTTATCAAATAAAATGCATCCAGGGGAGGGCTTCCATGTTCGAGTTGGTGGACGGGCAGCTGTACAAAAAGACATTTGGGGGACCGTATCTGAAATGCCTCCCACCCGATCTAGCGGCAGCTGTAATGGAAGAGATTCATGAAGGTATCTGTTCCAGTCACCAAGGGCCCAAGACGCTGGCCAGAAAAATCATCTTGCAAGGATATTATTGGCTAACTATCCAACAGGACTGCTTCGCGCATACCAGGAAATGTAAGGTATGCCAATTATACGCACCGGTTCCCGGACGGCCTGCCACTTTCTACACTCCAATGACGGTGGCCCTTCCATTTGCAAGATGGGGAATAGACCTGTTAGGTCCTCTACCTACTGCACCCGGAAACAAAAAGTACATCATTGTGGGGATAGATTACTTCACCAAATGGGTAGAGGCCGAGCCACTGGCCAGCATCACAGATGTAAAATGCCAGAAGTTTGTTTGGAAAAATATCATTTGCCGGTTCGGAATCCCTGAATAGATTATAACTGACAATGGAAGGCAGTTCGTGAGCCGGAATTTTGATAACTACCTGGTCAAATGGGGGATCAAGCATTCCAGAGCATCCGTCGCATACCCTCAGGCAAATGGCCAGGTAGAAAATATGAACCGAACCATCATGGATGGCATGAAGAAGAAGCTGGAAGAATACTCCTCGTCGTGGCCTGATCAGTTGAATTACATTCTATGGACTTACAGGACCACACCCCGAACGGCCACGGGAGAGACTCCATTTGCCCTTGCCTATGGTTTTCAAGCCAAAGTACCAACGGAGATCCTAGTTCCCACACACCGAACGGTGCATTACAGCCCAGAACAGAATGAAGATAACTTACGCGCCGAATTGCATTTCGTAGAAGAAAGGAGGGATCTGGCAGCGGCACGAATGGAAGAGTATCACAGAGCCACAAGAAGATACTTCGATAAGCAGGTTAAAGTTCGTTCAATCGAGGTAGGGGACCTGGTACTAAGAAAGAGAGAGAAAAGCAAACCGCTCGAAGGGGGCAAAATGGCACAAAATTGGGAAGGCCCCTACCAAGTATGTAAGAAGTATGCTTCAGGAACGTTTGGCCTACAAAATACCGAAGGCCGACCGGAAGGAACCTGGAATGTAGAGCATCTGAGGAGATTTTATCAGTAAAAACGGCTGTTGCCACCTCTAAAAAAAAATATAGAGAGGGAGACATAACTTCCACAAACTCAGCCCATGGTTAACTCGATCATTCCGGATAACCGAATGACGAACGGGTTAACAACATGGAAGGAAAATCAATTCTCAGTTTAGAGAGTTTTTGACCCTAGAATTACGAAAGAATAAAGGGATCAAAAACGGCTTGAAGAATTGAGGCTCAGAAAATCGGTGCCCATGGTTAACTCGATCATTCCGGATGACCGAATGACGAACGGGTTAATTCCATGGAAGGAAAATCAATTCTCAGTTTAGAGAGTTTTTGACCCTAGATTTATGTAAGAATAAAGGGATCAAAAATGGCTTGAAGAATTGAGGCTCAGAAAATCGGTGCCCATGGTTAACTCAATCATTCCGGATGACCGAATGACGAACGGGTTAATTCCATGGAAGGAAGGTCATTCTCAGCCAAACGACTGGGAGTTTGACGCTCAGATAGTCTCACCTCAGCGGTTAATATGAGAATCGATTCTGGAAAACCGAATGACGAACATATTAGCAGTTTGGAGGGAGCCATACATTTCAGCAAGAGTTTTGACCCTGTAATTACGCATTGATGAAGGGATCAAAATGGCCTGGAGTTCGAAGGACAGTGATTCTCACCTCAGCTTGTTAACACGTAGAATCATTCTGGATGACCGAATGACGAACGGGTTAACAGCTTGGAGGGAGCTGAGTCGTCAACTTAGCCAAAGTCGACCATGTAATTACGTACGGGCAAAGGGATCAAAATGGCTTGGAGATGGTGTCAAGACTGTAAGATATGGATTAACCGAGCGACGTTCGGATAAGGTACGGATTGTCGTCCGGGGAATCGAAACTATGGTTTTGAAAAATCTCGCCTCAGTCATAAAACTTGACTTGGAAGCTAGTCGCCCTTTTAGCTATAAGTAAGAAATGACCCAACTTCGGCGATCTTGCTTACAGTCCGAAAAGGGTTACCTCAGACCCCTAATATGGATGATACGAGCCAGAGAAAACAGTTCGGAATGCATCGGAATTATGGGTTTGGAAGGAGAGAGCCTCACCTCAGCTTATTAACGCATGAAATCATTCTGGATGACCGAATGACGAACGGGTTAACAGTTTGGAGGGAGCCCCTATCCCAGCCGAGAGTTTGACCCTGTGGTCACGATCAAAACGGCTTGGAGGAATTCACCTCAGCTAAGAGTTTTGAACCCGTGCGTCACGAACAGGAAAAGGGATCAAAACGGGTTCGGGAAGGTGTCAGAACAATTATGAAAAGAGTCTCACCTCAGCTTGTTAACACGTGAAGTCATTCCGGATGACCGAATGTCGAACGTGTTAACAGTTTGAAGGGAGCCCCTATCCCAGCCGAGAGTTTGACCCTGTGGTCACGATCAAAACGGCTTGGAGGAATTCACCTCAGCTAAGAGTTTTGAACCCGTGCATCACGAACAGGAAAAGGGATCAAAACGGGTTCGGAAAAGGTGTCAGATATAAAGATACATAAGCCGAGTGAGGTTCGGCCATGTAGAAAAGATTGTGGACAAAATCAAAGGAATAGAAAAAGTGCAACAGACAAAGGAAAAAAGTCCAGTTTATTCTTCAGCGTTACTAGCCGGAATATACAAAAACAAATATACAAGAAAGGAGACAACAGATAAGGAAAGGCTATACTAATGGATGATCGCCATTCGGGGAGGATGTAGGCTGAGAGCTCCCTGCCTGCACTGCATCGTCAGGCGCTGCTTTGGATCTTTTCTCCATGACGCGATCATACGTATTCCCGAACAGATCATCGAAGCCTAGTTCATCAGGATCGAACGGCTTGGGGAAATGCTCTAAGATCAGTTCAAGATTCCTATCCAGAAGCAGGTCCTGACTTTGCTTGACGGTTTTCTCGGTCAGGACATCCAAGAAAGATTTCCCTTCCGGCGTGCTGTCCAGGAGGTCGATCCCTGCCTTGATGGGATCTGAGCTCTCACGCAAAAATTGGCCAAGGTGAGGACCTAGGAATTGTCGGGCCGTATTATCCAGAGCGAGGTTCAGCGCCTTGCCCCGTTGGAAATCCACTACCGATTGCTGAGCAATCTGAGAGGTATTGACCGTGTAGGGTTCGGGCAGATGATCTCCGACAGCCTTATCAAATTTAATGCCAGCAGATTCAGCAGCCCGTACCTTGGCCCGGAGTTCTTTGAGCTCCCGGTCGCGACGACGGGACGTCTCCTGCATCTCGGCCAGGGCAGCTTTTGCTTTCTCACCCTCTTTGGCCTGCTCCTGGAGGTCGGTCGCTAACTTCCGAGCGGCGGAAAGAAGGACCTGGCCGTCATCCCGATCACTGGCCAGGGCTTTCATCTCCTTCTCAGCAGCGAGAAAGGCTTTGTGATAGTACACGCCAGCCTGAAAACAAGGTTACAATGAAAGTCAGAAAAGGTAAAGCATGAGTAATAGAAAGGTATGGGTCGGACTGAAATGTACCTTGAGTGCTTCCTGGTGACCTGCTTCGAAAAGGTCCGACCAGTGAGTCAAGTTAGTGAAGCTCGGGGGAACTTTGATCGCGGTATGACACCACATAGAAGTTGGCATCAACCCGAACAGATACCTCCCTTCCGATCTGGGCCCCATATTTGAGAACTCAACAAACATCCGATCATCGATCGGTGTGGCAGTAAGAACCGGAGTTGGTTTGTTGGCAGGTACTGATCTTTTGGGCTCAACCTCCGGCCTGGTCAAGTCAACCACATGGTCGATCGGGATCAGATGATCGCCATCATTTCCTTTGCACTTTTTTCGGGTTTGCTCCGCCGAATCACGATCGGCTATCATCTTCTCTTTCCCTTTAGCAGAGGAGATGGAACGCCGGACTGGTATGGGAGAGATCACACCTACAAGAAAGAGAAATAAAAAATAAGAAAGTTGAATTGCGAGAGCGAAGGATGATCGGGTTAAAACCCTACTATGCTTACCAATTCCAGCAGATAACATGCTCGAGGCAGTGACAAAGCTGCGAAGACTTCTGGTCCCTCCCATTCGCAGAGACTCAGCCTGGGAGCGTAGAACGGCATCCACCCTGGGCAGGGAATCCCGGACGGGATATGCGTTCCACCGGTCCGGGAATGGCAAAGAATCACCTACCCGAACGAACAAAAACCGCTCTTCCCAGTCAGCCTGCGGGGGTAACGTTCTCTGTGAACAGCTGACGGTCAGAACGGGCTACTAGCTTCAAGTACCCGGTCGTCCAGTAGGGCTGATAGCAGTAATGATAAAGAAATAGATCGACGCTCGGGGTGATCCTCAACTCGTGGCACCGGATAATGAAGCCTGTCAGAATACGGTAGGTGCTGGGCACGAACTGAGCGGGCAGTACAGCAACCCGGCGTAAGAACTCCACTATGAATGAGTGGAGAGGGAACCGAAGTCCAGCAGTCAGGGCATCGAGGTGCACTAGCACGTGCCCCGGTCTGTGCCTCATAGGATGCCGAATGAATCCGGCATAGTATTCCCTTGGTGGGGGCAACAACTGGCTAAGTTTCCGTTCAACATCTTCTGGGAGACGTTGCTTGTGTTTGTGTATGCGATTGAAATGTAGGGGAATGCGGGGTGGCCGTTCGGGCATCCCCTTGTTGTAAACCTGGAGGTCATCTCCCGACAGACATCCATCCTCCTGCGGCTGTTCGGTATGTTTGCTGACCTGAGTATTGGCAGGTTTGGGTGTTTGGGACGAAGAGCCTTCGGCCTGGTTACCAGCGGATGTTTTGCTTTTGCGGATCAAAGGCATCTCTTCAGATTCTGAGCTAGAGGAGTAGTACATAAAAACGCTGGAGGAAATTGGGGAATTCTAGAGAGAAAAGGCTTGAGAGTATGCAAAGGAATTCTAGAGAGAGAAAGCTCAAAAGAAAAATGAGAAAACAGCAGGAGGAATTAGGGGAAGCACCTCTCTATAAATAGGGAAAGCACCGCACGACCCCCTAATCCATGAGCAACACGTGGCATTTGGTGATTACGATTAAAATTGGGGCATTTATGTTTCATTTTTTGTGCACGTACCCCGGACGGGCTTACAGAGGATTAGCAAAAGCCACAGGGGCTTGCTGTTTAGAAAAATGCTAAGGCCTAAATGTCAACCCGAAGCTCGACCGGCCGACAGTATTATAAAAGGGTATCTGGAAGAAAAATGCTAAGGCCTAAATGTCAACCCGAAGCCCGACCAGCCGACAGTATTATAAAAGGTTATCTGGAAGAAAAATGCTAAGGCCTAAATGTCAACCCGAAGCCCGACCGGCCGACAGTATTATAAAAGGGTATCTGGAAGAAAAATGCTAAGGCCTAAATGTCAACCCGAAGCCCGACCGGCCGACAGTATTATAAAAGGTTATCTGGAAGAAAAATGCTAAGGCCTAAATGTTAACCCGAAGCCCGACCGGCCGACAGTATTATAAAAGGTCATCTGGAGGAGAATGGCTAAGTCCTAAAAATTGGTTTGAAGCCCGACCGGCTATCAATGTTATGAAGGAGTCCAAGCGCAAAGAAAACCGAGAAAACTGCTAAGTCCTAAAATTTGGTATGAAGCCCGAACGGCTATCAACGGCATTAAGAATATTTGAGCAAGGAATAAGTTAGGAAATTGCTAAGTCCTACAGAACAGGCCGAATCCCGAATGACGAGTAAATCATGCATTGAAAACAGAAAAGACAGCACAGAAAGTTTCAGACAAAAGAGGGATATATATTCGTCGGTTCTACTGACCGGGAAGTACAAGCTATTTAGAGAAAAAGAAAATTACAACAAGTAATGAAAAAGTACATATGAATTATTGACTGGGGGCCATGTCATCTCCCTCTTCATCCTCATCCTCATCATCATCAGATGGGGGTTCAGGCTCTTTTCCCGCAGCTAGATCAGCTTCCCGTTGCTGGGCTCGCAGGTATTTCTCGAACTGCGCCTGGATGATGTCATCTGTGGGGAGATCAGAGGCCTGAACCGGTCTCCCCAGTTGATTTTGGAGCTGAGTGATGAAGGGACGCAGCAAGACCTGGCCAATTTTGCCATAAAGATCGGAGACAATGGAGTCGTTCCATTTCTTGGCCTCCGGGTCCTTATCCAAGAGGGCCACCCCGGCCGATAGCCGACCGGCACCTTTGGGGAAATCCTTCAAATACGCCCCAAAGGCGAACGGGATTTGGGCCCTGGCATGTTCATCCTTGATGAGGGAGAATTCATCGGAGGATTTAAACATGTCCCGGACGGTGGACAGATCCACGTTCACTTCGTAGGGACCGTCCGGGATACTGGATGGCAGTTCTTCGAATCTGACCCGAGCTGCCTCAGCGGAAAGGATCTTCGCCTGGGAAGCTGCGAGTTGGACCCGAAGGGTACCGACTTCAGCATCCAGCCTCTGCTTTTCCTCAGCAAAGGTTTTCCGTTCGGCCTCCAGAGAGGCGACGGCAGCAGCAGCATGTTGCTCAGCAGAAGACTGGGCAACAATCAGTTCCCGCTCTTTGGCCAGGCGGGCCTCCCGCATCTGAAGGGTGTACAAGCCCATCTACAGAATACCGTTCGAGAATTAGTACTGATGACAGAGAATAAAATTAAGACAAAGCGCAAGAGACAACGTACCTTCAGAGCAGTCAGAGCCAAACATTCCTCAGATTGCTCGACCGGCAACTGAGGGAGGGAAAAGTTGTTAAACCAGGAGGAGGTAGACCAGATCTGGCTCGCAGTAGATCCAGCCCTCTCTAAAACCTCATGAACAGGGTCGGATAGGGAGATCCGCTCGACCTGACCCGTAATGTGGTCAGTATGTGTCTCACCAGCATTCGAGGATTCCCCCCGAACGGAGTCGAAATGCTGGGAAAATTGGTGCAGTTGGTCAGAACCGAACCGATCATCAAGCAGCATGGCCTCTAGTTGATCCTGGTGGACCTGCTGAATTGGCTGAGGTTCTGGGAGCGGTTGAGAAGGGGCAGCCTCCTGAGCGGGAACAATGGTGGGAGTAGGTTGGGGGTTCTTCCGGGATTTTTTCCGCTTTCCGCCCCCACCGGCTGCGATGACTCTGCTATCATCCATGGGAAGATCTGGGTTGGGTGCTGAAAAAAGGCAAAGAACAATGTTAGTATCGAGCGGCCCTAGCGTGTGAGAAACTAGAAAAAAGAATAAAGGAACGTTTCTCGCACGGGAAGGACCGCCCGGACCAAGGCACTTGGTTTATCAAAACAAGTAAACCCAAGAGAACGGGCAGTACCTATCCCGGCTGGTATAAGTCGTTCGGGGGTTAGATAATTCATGATGTCCATGCATTTATCCTTCTCCACAGCGAGCACGTCCTTGTAGATTTCTTCAGTCAGGACAGGATCAGGGGTCTTGCGGGGAAAAGCATTCCACTTGCGGGGAATCAGACCGTCCGGGATGGACACGAAGAAAAACCGGTCTTTCCACCCTTTGATCGAAGTTGGGTTTCCTTTGAACAGGATGTGTCCCGTTCGGGCACTAGTGGCCAGATAGCCATGGGTTTGTTGAGGGGCTACTTTGAAGAACTGGTGGAAGAGTTCTAAGGTTGGTCGGGCGCCGGCATCTTTGCAACGACAAATGAAACCCGCCATTGCTCGATAAGAGTTCGGCATAATCTGGGTCGGTACAATTTGGTAGAAATTAATGAAAGAAATAAAGAAAGGGTGTAGCGGAAATCTAAGGCCGGTCCTAATTGAGTCAAAGTGGACTATGGTCATTCCGGGCCTATGACGCATTGGATGAAGCCCGGCTTGCAAACGGAAATCCACCGGGTCAGGGATAAGGGCCGGAATTTCGGCCCTATTGTGAGAGGTCAATTTTTGCCTCCTCTCCCTAATCAATTTTAGGTCAAGAGTATGGCGAGGAACATCGTTGGGACGTCCGGCCGCCATGGAGGCCAATTCGTCCTCAGACTTGGTGTCGTCAGAATCCTCACTGGAGGAAGAAGAAGTGCTAGGGAGGTCCTCCGCCTCAGCCCTGGTATTCGTCGCCGTCTCGGTAGAAACACCGGCAAACGGAACTGGGATGGCATCTACCATGGCGGTGTCACGGTCATCCCCATGAGAGGCCATCTCCGAATCAGAAGAATGCTCTGTGGGGCTCATCTCGATCGAAGCCAGAAATGAAGATGGGGAATCCAAGGTTGGGAAGTTACCTGAGCAAGGGAAGCAGGGGGAAATTTGCAGAGAAAACAACGAAGGCCAAGGAATTGCAGAGTCGAAACCCGGAATCGAGGAATTAAGGGCTAATTTATAGCCTTGAAACCGTCGTGTCGAGAACCAATCAGAGAGCGACACATCACTAGGGGCATTTAAGCTAGACACGCGTCTAATGAAAAGACTAAACGACGATTATCATGGTGAATATGGGGAAATGAAGCGGCAGCCGTCAAATCGCAGCATGAGGAACTGATTACTTCTGTACCCCGATCGCCATTCGGGGTATTATGACATTGGTATACTTCCTGATGCACTCACTTCGTTCGAGACATCGGAAGTGGGGGACTTGTGTTGGGATATTGACCTAGAGGCCCAATACCCAGATCGGGAAGGCCCAAGGCATCCGGCCCAAGTAACAGGCCCATCACTCCATGATGAAAAGGTCCAGTAAGGAGACATACCGAACGGGGTTCGGCCCTAATAAAGGTTGGCCCAATAAGAAAACATACCGAACGAGGTTCGGGCTATATATCATACTTGGGCCAATTTGACAGCATCTTCAGTACGGACCAACATCCCGTTCGAACAACGGCCAACCAGCAAGTGGCCAGGTGCAGTTAATGCCAGACTATGACATCAGCAAGTGGAAGCATGGATGACCAAGTCGGTGGAACAACAGCCAATCAGCAAGAGGCAGCCCATGCTCTCCATTAGTATAAATAGAAGGTTTCAAGTCATTGTAAGGGTTAGATTTTCGATACTCAAGCTCTAGAATAGCATCATTTGCTCTTATTTCTTGTATTAAAGCATAGTTTTTGACTTACTGATCGGGAAATCTTTTGTAATCAGATTGGTTAATTAATACAAGTGGGTTTTCGAGTTCTAGTTAATTCAGATTTTATATTTTCTCACACACTTTGATTCTGGGCCATTCCTGATATATCTAAAGTTCGTGTTGGGCTTTCGGATCTACGGGACTTACCCTCAACAATACTTAAATCAATAGTGATCTCTAACGTATATAAATAAAATTATTCAAACAACATGGATATAAAATCACTTATTCCTAATATGATAGTGTATTTAGTCATTTTTATAATTTTAAAAAATATTTGAATAAGACTTTTGGACAACGTCGTGTGTCTCGACTTGTGGAATCACTATGTCTATTCAGCACATAAGTGTATCCTTCTTCACTCGTCAGCTACTCAGCGGCTCAGCCGTCGCGACACGCAAGTTCTTGGAATAAGATGGATTTGTTTCTGGACATTAGTACATTACTCATTAGTCATCATGTTAGTTTGTTTGAATGTTAGTTAGTAGAAGCCTAAAAGGTTATAGTGAGTTTGGAAAATTGGGCCTTTATTCGTGTATTTTGGTATTTGTAAACAACCCAAGTATTAATTCAGGCTTCAAAATTGTAATAGACTTTTACAATATTTTAGAATTAAAAGTAATTGTTTGGTAGGGGAGTCGGTACAGTATTATACCGGTATATCGCGGTATTTGAAAACATTTACCGTTACCGTACCGAAATAAATCGATACGGTATGATACCGTACCTAAAATGATGGTATACCAATATTCCGGTATTTTCCGGTATTTTTCGGTACGGTAAATGCGGTATACCGATTTTCCGGTATTTTTGCCCACCCCTAGGTGTGCTCATCAGCTTGGTTAGGTTGGTTTCATTTTAAATCTGTTGGGTTTTAAAAAATGCATAACCGAAAAAGCATTTTAGGTTGGAGTAACTTAACTACTTAAGTCAATTTTGGTTATGCTATTTTGGTCGTTTTTATTGGTTTCAATTGGGTTGGTCAGTTTTTAGAATTCAAACTTTAAACTGTAAACCAAAAGGCCTATGGTTTGGTGGGTTTGGGTCGCTTCAGTTTCCGTTTAGGTTTTGTTGCTCAAGCCTCTTCTATCATGTTTATAACTTTCTCGAATTCATTTTACAAGAATTAGATAGACTCATTAGGCAGAGTCTATTAGATAGGAAACGACTAAACCCACCAGGCCACCACGACATTTTAATTACTCTATATTAGTATTAGTATTATTATTAGTATTATTATTATTAATAGTAGTAATAGTAGTGTTATTGTTATTATTATTATTAATTATTAATATGTGTATATATACGGGGGACGGTGAAGGGACGATGTGAGGGGTGCATAATTCATCACCCGCCCCATATTTAAGCGGGGAGGAAATAATTCCCCCATCCCTGCCCTGCTCCACAACCCGCCCCCCACGGGGCGGTTTCCCCATGGACCCCCGCTCCCATTGCCATCCTTGCTTGCATCCTCATATTTCCAAAAAAATATTAACATATAAAATGATCGGAAAATCAGAATATGACCACCTAACTGTGAGATGTAGTTTTTTCTTAGAATTGCGAGGGTTTAATTAGGTATTTTTAGAGTAAGGGTTTAATTAGAATTTTCAATAAAGTATGAGGGTCAATTCATAGTTCCCCCATTAATTTACATCTTAAAAGAGTTTGAAAAAATTGTTTACATTAAAAGAAAATTTCATGTCATGTTTGAGAAACTTATAATGTGTCATATATGATGTTTTTACTCGTACGGTTTTCAATCTCAGACCAGACCTAAACAGATCAAACCATACTAGACTTAAACAGATCAGACTAGAGTTAAACGGATCGGACCAGACTTCGGTAGTTATAAAATGCAAAGAGATCAGATATTTACCAGACCACATCAGACCAAACTTAAAAGACCAGACCGGATTTAAACAAACTAGACCATCAAATCACAGTCCAAGTAAAAACATCCTAATTCTCTAATATATCACAATTTATAATCCATATCTTTATATAATTAAAAAAGAGCGATAATGATTATCGTCTAAAACTTATATATACTCTTGATGATGTGAGTTATCACTATACATTAGGGATGGACTGGGACACGACGGCGTGACCTGGCTCCGTCTAGGATGACCCGAACCGGTTTTCTGGGATCGGTAACAGGCCCGGTTTTCCAGGATCGGTACCAGGCCCAGTACCCGACCAGTGTATATTAGGGATGGACCAAACCGGGTCGGCCCGGTCCTGAACCGGCCCGGCCCGTCACTGTGCGGGCCTGGCCCGGCCCGGTTACGGAATGGCCGGTGCGGGCTTTTACCCGGCCCGGGGGAGGCTAGCGGTTCGGGCACGGTTCCCAAAAAGGAAGGCCCGGCCCGGTTCGGGCCAACGGCTATATTTAAAAAAAAAAACTTTTGGCTACCAAACAGGCCCTTAGAGCCGTTGTGATTGAACCCAAACGGCTATATAGCCGTTGGGAGCCTTCCTGGGTCCAGGGGTGAGTTAGGGGGGGTGGGGGTGGGGGGGGGGGGTAGGGGTACAAAAAAACTATAAATACTCCATTTTTTCTATACAATTTACTACACATCTTCTCCAAATATTCCTACTCTCTAATCTCTATTCTCTACTAATTTATTATTTATATATCTACTTTATACTTAAGATGGAAAATCAAGATGCCGTTATACGGTATAATTTTGATAAGCAGAAGGACCCGAAGACCGGGATGTGGTACGCAACTTGTAAATGGTGCGGGAAAAAATGTAGCATGGGGGTTTAAGGCGGATACGGGATGACAATGAAGCATATGAAGTCACGTGACAAAGTCAAAGGATCGGGAGGTGCGGGAAGTTCCGATTGATTACAATTTACAAAATGTTTGTCTCTTGAAGTTTGTTTTAATTTTCAAATGTAGTTCCTATTTCATTTCAAATAAATGCACTTGAAGTTTGTTTTTAATACTTGTATAAAACTATAAACTATAAAATATAAATTATAAAAAAAATCTTTAACCGGCCCGGCCCGACCCGTGACCCGAGCGGGTGGCCTGGCCCGAACCGGACCCGTCCATCCCTCGGGCCGGTCCCGGGTCCATGTCATACAAACCAGCGGCCCGACCGGGCTCGACCCGGCCCGAGTCCACCACTAGTGTATATTAGAGGCGGGCCTCGGGCTTGAATTTTTGGACCTAGCTTGGCTGGGGCGGGTTCCGGGCCCAAAGGCTATTTTTTTATAAAACAAATTAATTAAACGGGTTTAAGCCCGGCCAGGTACTGTTTAGGCCCGACTCGGTCCTGGTACCGCGCCTGAATTACGTAGTCTTGAAGCCCGCCCGATTACTCCTATTCAGAGAATAAAAAACATGATACTCTTATTTTGGAATTTCAAAATGTTTTTGCTCCTATTTAGAGCAATTTCTATAATATAAACTACTACCGTTTAGTTGTTTCATCCCACAGAAAATAAAAGTATCGGATTCAAAGACGCGAGACAAGCAAATAATATTTTGTGAATGATCGACTCAAACAGAGGATCTTTTGGAGTGGTTTAACTTGTAAAGTAAGGGAGCCGCTCTCATACCATTTGTGAGTCGGGTTGTGCACACAAAAAGGAGAGAATTATGTACACTCCAATTCTGTTTGTATCTTTGAAATAGAATGATTTCACTGCCTCAGCTATTGAAGAACCGATAAAGAAACAGTCTAAATGTTTGTTTGAAACTTCACCCTACAATAGAGTTAAGAGAAAGCAGAGCTTTACCCGCACGGGTAGCTCAGTTGGTCGAGTGGTGGGAAAAATTGGACGTAGACCAAGGTTCGAATCCCGCAGCGGCCAAAAGGGGATTTTCAGAACCTGAAATAAGGCTGGCCCTCTGGTGCGCACGGGTAAAGGCCTACTGCCGCTTTGCCGACTGAGTCACCGTGATTTACTCCCCCACCATCCTGTCGGGTCGGGGTGGGGGGACCCTTGGGGTTGGGGATTCAACCTTTTTGGACGAAGAGAAAGGAGAGCTTCTACCCGCACGGGTAGCTCAGTTGGTCGAGCGGTGGGAAAAATTGGACGTAGACCAAGGTTCGAATCCCGCAGCGGCCAAAAGGGGGTTTTCAGAACCTGAAATAAGGCTGGCCCTCTGGTGCGCACGGGTAAAGGCCTACTGCCACTTTGCCGACTGAGTCACCGTGATTTACTCCCCCACCATCCTGTCGGGGTGGGGGGCCCTTGGGGTTGGGGATTCAACCTTTTTGGACGAAGAGAAAGGAGAGCTTATACCCGCACGGGTAGCTCTGTTGGTCGAGCGGTGGGAAAAATTGGACGTAGACCAAGAGTCGAATCCCGCAGCGGCCAAAAGGGGGTTTTCAGAACCTGAAATAAGGCTGACCCTCTGGTGTGCACGGGTAAAGGCCTACTGCCGCTTTGCCGACTGAGTCACCGTGATTTACTCCCCCACCATCCTGTCAGATCGAGGTGGGGGGGGGGGCTTGGGGTTGGGGATTCAACCTTTTGGACGAAGAGAAAGGAGAGCTTCTAGATTGAAATTGTATGTCTATTCCATTGATATGTTGTGGTGTATATATAATAAGGGACGTATTCTATAAGGTATGGTTCTAATATAATCCCTCCAATAAACAAAATATATTTTCCTTAATTACAATGATATAAGTGAAGGATTGATTTGTAATTTTGTACACACTGGGTTGTGAACACTACAAGGGGAGGAACTAGGGGGCAAGTGTTCCCGCTTTTGGTCCCGAAAATAGCTTTAATGCCTATTTCATAAAAGTGTGTCCCCGCTTATGATATTCTTGAATAATACTAATTCTTAGATGAGTGTTTAGATATTGTAGAAAACCTGCTAAACATATTGTTAGAGTTGAATAAGAGGAATAAACTCAATGACAAAACATGTATCATTTTGATTTCGAGTTTTGTTTATATAAAACAATCTAAAATAACGTTTATGTTGGTTTCGATTAGGGTTGTTAGCAATAAGAACTAATATGAGCCCTCCACAAGATTCATAGGATCGTGATGTTTATTTAGTGTGTTAAAACCCCTTTAAGCATCTAACGGATGCACCATCAACACTCAGCAGAACCCTATAAGTGTGCAATGCAGTAGTGAAAAAGAGAACATTTTTGGTATTTGTTCGTAGGACGAGATTGTATAAAAAGCATTTCTTTTCATGCACAGTGCGAGATTAGAAAAATGAATGAAAATTTTAGAGTTATTGAAATCGAGTTCATAATATGACATTCATCATGTCTTGAAGAGTTTTGATTTTTTGCATTCACCTATGCCATTGAATTGGGGAGAGTCCGGAGTTGCAGTTAGATGAATTGTTCAGAGTTTTAGAACATAATTATTCAAAAGGAACAGTTATTCTCCTGAATCTCCTCTCTTCTACTCCTTCGAGCTATTGCTGAAATGTAGGAGCGCATAAGAATCCTTACTAGGAGTAGCAAATATATATCCTCGGGGATTCTCTTACCTCATCAATCATGATGAAATCCAAATACTTCTTTTAATGGACAAATATAAATTCCTCAGCACATTTTTACTTCACAGGAGTCTGAGTTGAATACCCCAATGCTTTTAAGGAATTTCAAATTATTCTTGATGGTCTGTTGGAAAAGTCAACAAGTTTCAAATGGATAGTTCCCTTGATGTGTAGATCCACTGTAAAATTAGCAGTCATTTCTCCGTATGAAAAATGCACACTCTGTATAAATCTAATGAAGTTCGAGTTATGAATTTCCAGTATCTAATATTTTCTGTGGTTTGAATGAAGAAAATAGGTGAGAGTGACGTAGGCGGCCACGGGCAGTACAGCCTGAACACAAATAATGATTATGAATGAACTAAGCTGATACCCCCGTAGCATCCTTGGGGATCAAAAACAGAAAAGCAACCGGAACGAATGTGCAGATGACCTGAACAAAAATGCCAATCGAGAGGTTGTCAAAAGATCCTGAAGAAGATATGTCAAGCGCAGAAGCAAGCCCGGCTCCAACAAAAGATCCCACTGTGGAGCCCAAGTTGTTAATTGACATGAAAAGAGCAAATAAAGTCCCTTCAATCCCTGGAGGGCATAGCTGCCCTGACAAGATCAAAAATGGCATAAACCTGCAATCATAGTGACACTCACTCAGTTAAATATTTGTCGCCAAACATTCATTTGAATTGTTAAATGGAGTTCAACTTAACCCAGCAAAGTATTCTCACACTTGTAAACTCTAGGCTCGCCAAAAACTGTAGATAACCGATGTGGGAAGGCGTGGACTGGTCACTGGTGGGCCCAAGCCAACCCTAAATGGTCTTGGCTCAAACCATCATTGTATTGTATAACTTAGGTTAAATTGGCCTCTAAAAGAATCTTGAAAAGGTGAGGTTTACCTCATATTTATATGCTTGACTCAAAGAGTCAAAGCTAATAGACAACCGATGTAAATACTCAAAGGTATGAATAAAACATTCAAACACACATGTGATACAACAACAACATCTCAAACACACATGTAATATGGCCCGTAAATTTGAGTGTGATAAGGGAGGTTGGACATACTTGAATTGATTTATGCCATCTGCAAGAGCAGACCCAAACAACACCAATATCTTATCTGATACACCTAATGATACATTGGTTCGGGTAACCAAAACTATATCTAGGGAACTCAAAATGGCCAAACCAATATGAGCCCACCTGCACAAAAACCAAACAAGAAAATTAAATTAATTAATTAATTTCAAAACGTACAATTCATTAGCTCCTTACAAATTTCCGCTTACATGAGAATTCTTCGCAATTTCATTTTCTTCAAGTATTGGTTGTAAACAAAGGTTCCAAGCATGAGGCCTAACCACCCAAGAACACGTGCTGTCCCTAAAAAGGATGCTTCCAACTTTAAAACCTCTGTCTGGTAGTAGAACATTACTGTCGAGAGGTTTGGGACAGTTACATGCGCTAAAAAGAACCAAGCCATTGGTCTGGATTCCCAACAAAGAGTTCGAACAAAACAATAACAACAAACACAGTAAGATCAAACAACTAATCAGCAGGTAAAAAGTAAGATAAAACATCTTTAGAAAACTGAATGGTCAGGTTATGAAGCAAAAAATGTATTGTTAATTGGGTGCTATTTCGAAAAAATAGCAAATGATTACTTCACATTAGGGGTCAATTTCATAACTTATCAGATCAGGTGCTATTGTTAATTGTTATTAATTCATCTATTTGTTAATTTTTTCATTTTTTTTCAATTTTTTTAACTCCAATGTCATATAATGATTCATGTTAGCACACTCCAAACTCTTTTGGGATTAAGGTTTGGGTGCCGTTGGTCCCACAACTATTAGGTCATTCCCACTTTTGGTCCTTGACATTCATGATATACACTTTGGTGCACAAATATGGATTTTTTGCCAATTTCTTCTTTCCAATCACTAATGTGATGCAAACAAGCAGCGATTGACCATAAGTGACCAGAATGACCAAAAGTTGAAAGAAATCCATCATTGAGAAACAAAATAAGGGGGGAATGGAAACCATGGATCAATATTGGCACAAACAATATGATTAACCAAGATATTAACAAAAAAGGGGTACAATAGCAAGCAGAAAGATTAACTGTATGTTACCTCAGAATGATTGGCTGCCGGAAAGCCATGAACAGAGCATAGCTTGCTGATTTGATGGATTGAAACAGGCGTAAGGATGGTTCATCCTTTTCAGGAATTTCGAGGTCACCAGATTGGACTGTTCTATTTTCGGTATCTTTCTGGCTCCTTTTTCTCCTTGATGCGCGACCCTTAGACTTCCCATTGGAGAAACTATAATTATCATCAATGTTTTCATTTGTCAGGTGAGTTCCGTTTGAGATGGAAAGCTTTGAGAAGCTTTTAGCAGCTGTAGAGCCCTCCTCCACAAAATGACAAGAAACAAGCTGCATTGCTGGTAAAACCGAAAAGATAAGAAAAATTTCATCCATCCTAAGATTGTTTAATGCATAACCACCTAGCAAACTCCCACAGATTCCTCCCAAAGCCATTGCCATCCAAGACATCGATTGAAGATCACCCGCAAATAAAGCCCTATTCATGAGAAACATCAAAATCTAAATGATAGTAGTTCCCTAAGGTCTTATTTGTTTGTTATTTTATGTGTTTGTTATTTTATACTCCCTCCGTCCCTAAATAAGCTTCTCACTTTTCAATTATGAATGTCCCTAAATAAAGTCCCCTTTCCCTATTTGGTAAACAAATTTATATCAATTTACTCTACTACTCCATATCTTTAAATATAATGGCTGCACAGTGTTAAACAGTGTCAAACAGTGTCAAAAGAGTACGCTACAATAAAATTTACCCCTAAGTAAAAGAGGCGCTTCAGGAAGTCAAAGGAAAAAAAATTATTTCCTTAACATGGGTGAAATTCAAAGAGGGATCTTTATATAGGGACATCATGGGGAGTATTTAGCCAATGTAGCAGACTTCAACATCACTACATTTTTTTCATATGGATAGAACATCTCTTACATCTAAACACCTTTGTCTGGTTATGGCTCATAACCCAAACATCATGACATCGTGTCATCCTGGTTAGAATACTTTATTAAGCCTTAGGGTTCTAAACTAAAAGAGTTAACTTTATAGAATTAGAAACCAATAGGCTTATAAGTTGGTTTTTTATTTTATGTTTAGTAGAAGTGAGATATTTTCAACAAAAAACGAGAAAAACTTTGGGACAGTCGAACACCATTTACTAACATGGTACTATTATGGCATCGGCTAGTGCAAGAAAACATACCGTTCTAATCTTGCAGCCTCGGCTATCATGGCATCAATTACCACATCAGCCATGGCCGAGCCCAGATTTTGCACTGTTAGAAAAATCATTAGCTGCACCTTTTTGGTCCTAAGAGTTCCACTGGTTCCTAAAACAAGCCATGGAAGGAGTGATAGCAAAGTGGCCAGTATGAGATACGGAATTCTTTTTCTTCCTTTGATGGGGATACAATCAGATACAATTCTGCATGAAAACACACCTTGACTTTCAATGTTTCAATATTTCACTAGAGCTATTACTTACTTTGTTATAAGACAATATCTTCATATAAAAAAATATTATCTCTCCAATATCAACGAGTCATATTTGAAGTTGTATGATAGATACATACCCGTAAAGAGGTTTCACACTCCATGGAAAGAATGCCACTGAAGAGACAAACTGGGAAGCTGAAGGCGATAATTTCAACCCATCTTTCAGTTGATACGAAACTGCAGTCCATACAAAAGATCTAAAACCCTGTTCCAAAAAGGTGTGATGTAATTATATGCCACAGGGACTATATGAATTTGTCTGTGTGTATTTATATTTCTATTTGATATACGCATAATTGTGTAAGTATATATGCTAAATATATGCTGGTTTTCAGGTTTTGTAACCAAAGGCTTGTGTAATTGATAGATTTTGGGGGTGGGTTTGATTTTTCTTATACTAATTTGCCTCTGTTTATTAGTCTTCGACTCGAAAACAACCACTCTTGTGTGTTTAATTAAATCATGTATTTTACACACACACATTCGGAAAAGTCTCTATGTGCTAAATGCATAAAAAGAAATCACGTATAGTATAGGGGTAAGGCTGCGTACATATGACCCCCTTACCCCACCTATGGTGGGAGCCTTTGGGGCACTGGGGTAGTATTCATGTTTAATTTCATGATGTTTGGCATAAGTTTTCATGCTTTGAAGGTAAAAATTGCTAGTAAGTAAAATAAATGTATCACAAAACACATATTTAGTTGATCCTGGCAATAGAGAAATTGCTGGAGCCTGGAGCTGGGAATAACCAACATTTGACCGTAGAACCAGCATTTATCGTACGAATTGTAATGTCAAAAATCCTGTGATAGAATTAGAACTCCTAAAAGGTTCCATTTCAACCGTAAATTTCAAATAAATAAACCGAAGTCCTAACAAACCAGAATTACGGAGTAGCAATTGAGAAATGAACCTGGGTGAAGTAAATCAAGCAAACGAGCCAGAGAAAAGAAGCACCAAAAGCGCCCCGCAACTGATTGCACCAACCAATCATTTTTGCGGATCCAAAATTGCCCGACCCCTAAAACGACCCGATCGACGGGCTCCGAAGTTCTTGCTCTTGTCGGATGCCCCAAATAATCTCGTTCAGGGCATTTGCATTTCTTGTTTGCCTCTCGCCTCGCATTACTTCGTCTTCTTTCTAACAACGGGTTTTTGTTTGACGAATTTGAGCAGTTACAAACGTTTGAGGTGTAGATATACTGACGTGGCATATGTGTCATTTTGCTGACTTTATTGATGCCCATGTGGCAACGCCGACCCGCCCGGCGCGTCATAGGTTATGCTTTAAGTGAGTTGAGTTGAGTCAACATGTTTAATGACGGGTCACAATTTCTACAACTCTCATAGATAATCTCAAATTATGTGGTATCTAGAGAGAAATCAGAGTAATAAGTAAGAAGGAGAAAGTGTTGTTGCAATAAATAACCAATGGTCTGTTACAACTGTCCAAGGGACGCTATTTATACTAGTCATAAATGCTAGGTGCATTAAAGGCACGTACACGTGTAAGCTAGTCTATGGCAGAGAGCGCCCCAACTGTGTGGGTGCTGGCACGTGGCACCGCATTAAATGCGGTGGTTGGACACTAAGCAAAGGCTATGTGGCTTAAGGCTGATGCTTGAGACCAAAGTTTACAGGTGTGTTTTTGGGCTGAAACGGAGTTTCGTCCCTGAGTTTGAGGCCTTCGACCATAGTGCCGAAGGCATCCCCTATGGGATATGGGCTACACGGTGCTTGGGCCGCAGTATCTGGGCTGCTTGAGCTTATCGGGCCTGCTAGATGTAGCAGGAGTATGTGGGTCCCGGGGCCATATACTCCATCAAACCCTAACCCAATTCACCTAACTCGCAGGTTAAACGTGCCGACATGCAGGTCAATGTATAAGAATATACTTCTTTCGTTCTTTTTTAATTGCAACAGTCTACTTTTCATGTTTGTCAACACACAAGTTTGACCATTAATATCTTTCATTTGTTATTTGTAAAAAAAATAAAAATTAGATTTTGAAATTTTAAAATGAGAGCAATTTAATAATAATTTTTAGATTTAATTTACAATACATTAAAAAATAAAATAGAGTCATAGTAGAACATGTGAACAGTGCAAAAAGTTCAATGTTGTATTTAAAATAGAATGGAGGTAGTACATGACAAAATTCTCTAAAAATAATTACCCAATAGAATATATTTATATCGGTAATAATGTATATTTATATTGGTGGATGGTAATAATGGAAATCTATTTAAAAAATATTAGAAATCAAAATACTAAGCACACAATACTCACCTAGATTTCTCCTCTTTTTATATACAGATAGCTCTCAATACAAAAGAACTAGGAGCATCTCCAATGAAAAAACGTGAAATCGTGCATATGCCACACATAAACATTAATAAGTATAATATTTTTTCCTTATTTGAATGGTTTTTGGTATGTTTTTCTTCACAATATCAATTACAATGTCTATACTACAAAAAACTTCAAATGGTGGACGTATGCCTAGGTTAGGTTACGGCGGTGGCTTTGCTTCGCAAGCTTAGAGGCGCGAGACTTTGCACGTTCTCAGGCTTCAGCTATATTGTTCCGAGGCTCCAGCAATCACACGACCAAAGTGGAAGATATAGAAAGACCGGATATCCCAAGGGCAAGAGAAGATAGATGCTTTGACTCAAGCTACCGTAGGATGGAAATGAAGGAGGAACACGAAGTGCTCTTGGTGGAAGCTACAAATTCGGAGGTAACCAACATAAGTTCAGCGCTAATGGATACAATTACATCGGAAAAATCAGTACGTTTTTCTATTTTTCATGAAAGTATGATGTCAATTTGGAAACCATTCAAAGGCGTCACGATAACTGATCTAGGTGCTAGACGATTGATATTTCAATATACATAGTGCTTAAAACAATCGCAGTGCTGACATTACATATACACACAAACTAATGAGAAAATAATAGGATTAATACATAAATAAAGTGGAAATCGCCATTGTTTTCTTACTAAAATATGAGCATTCATTCATGATTGGGAAATTCTTATATTTTTAATAGAATCAAATAAATCTTATATTGGGATAAAACATAAATCCTCCTATTTATACACTTTGTGTTTATGTTTTAGTCCTATTTAGAGCAATTTCTTTAAATTAATTAACTTTGAATGTTATTGTACCTCACTAATTCACCATCATTACATATAATTATGTATGTACATAATTGGTTCAACATATTATTTCATCATTTATTTAAATTTGGAATACTTAATTGTACATTGATATTACTGATTGCTTTGATACACTTTGTAATCTATTTATTGTAATTTATTTCTTGCAATGTAGATATTTTCCATTAAATAGATGTGCCGCAACCTGATCATCTCCTCTGCCATCGTCGTGCCCTCATATTTAGTTCCCACTACAAAGAAATCTTAGCCTCAATCCAATCGCCTCCATTGATTGAGTTCTCAGCTTATCTATCTAAGGTTGGAGTATTAAGACAAAAGTGTAAGAATGAATGTATACTTAAGACGGATACATAATGAAAACATAGTATATAAAGGGAGTTTTGCATTTATAAGGTGTAAAGTTCTAAATATTTACAAAATGCCATTAATGAGAGACGGTTAGTTGAGCTAATCTAACGGCAAAAAAGTCTTCCCTTTTTCAGCCTAACATAGACTTCTCATGTAATTTTCTCTCTCTCTCTCTCTCTCTATATATATATATATATCCACACATATTTGAATGAGTCGTTGATCAAAATTTGTGATTTGAGTGTTGCGGTCTCTCCCTAGCAGGTCTAGGGTTTTGTTTTTCCTTAGCAGATCTAAGGTTTGGTTCTTCCGGCCGGTGAATCCCCGTCACTGGTATTGGATTTGAGGCAGATTGACAAGAATCATTGCCCAAGCTTGACGACATCGAAGCCAGAGTTCGACGATCGATTTCATCGTGAGCAGGGTACCAAGGGCATGGCAGCGATGAAGATGACTGCTAGCTGTGGATTTGCTACAAGCGCGGGATGAGGAGAGGTGCACGGGTTTCGAGCAGACCAGATGACGATTGACAATGGAGGATCAATTAGAGTGGTACCAAGGATACGACCACCTCCTGAACCACCACCATGGATTGTACGAGGTGCTAGAGTCCGTGGAAGTTTTCCTATTAGTTATTTTTATTATGTCATTTGGCTTCTTGTTATTGTCTATGTTGTTAGGTTTGTCAGTTTGTTTGGGAATTCAGCCTTTTTTTATGTCGTTGAGTATGTTTGGATCTATGGGAACATGGATGGTTGTGTCAAGCCCGCTACATGGTTAGCGATTCGCGTTGCTCTTTCAGGGGTGACCGTCTCTAAGTTTGATCATAGGGTTTACAGTCATAGTTGTTGGATTTTAGTTGGTGTTAGTTTTGTTTTTCCTTTGATTGATGTAATGATCCTGAAACTTATGATATGAAAGAAGACCAGCTGGTGATAAAAAAATGAGTCATTGATCAATTTGTGGATGATCCTCACTTTTAGGAATCTAGCTAGCTTTTTCCTTACCTGGACGCCCTTATTCGACGTACAAATATGACCCGTACACTAAGATCGTGTAAAATATGACTGGTCACCGAGTTTTGACTTTTAACTGATGATGATTGGAAGCTAAATTTAATTTAATAAATATGCTCCGTAAAAAATAATGGAATTGAAGTCAATTGATGGGATTTTTGTTTGTGAAAGAAAATTAAAGGAAGAACCCCAACATTCTTGATCGAGAAGCTATAAGAGCACAACTCATATAATTTAGCTACAATTATATTTGATCGATCGATCATCCCAATCCAATCAAATATACAGAGTATATAATTAGCCAACACCCTGATCGAGGAATACATATATATAATGGGTGTTGGCCCCGACGGCCATAATATATGATCGAAAAGTGATGAGATTGCATGTGGGCATATAAGGCGCATGCGTGACGGCCGGCTGGGGAATGAATTAAGCATGAAGATGAATTGCTTTTCTTGTTGCTTGTCTGGAGAGGAGGACGAGAAACTTTCCAAAAAGAGTATTCAACAATGCAAGGACATGAGACTTCTTGCCTCATTCGCCAACATTTCCTTAAAATCTGGTATGTAATTCATTCATCCATTCCTAAGCACCTACCCTATGTTCCATGCATGCATGAAGATTTCATTAATTAGCTGGCTATTAGGTGTTTTAATTAATTGTATTGAAATGATCGGTTTTGGTCCGCAGATAGAAGCAGGAAGAAATACATTGAAGAAGAAGTAGCAAAATTTGGAAAAGGGAAGAACAATAGTAGTTCATCATCATCAGCTCGTGCTTTCACATACCAACAACTTGTTGTTGCCACCCAAAACTTCAACCTCCATTCTTTGCTTGGTGAAGGCGGTTTTGGAAGAGTCTACAAAGGCCACCTCCACACCACAAATAAAGTACATATATATATGTGCATCCATGTCGCATCTAACTACTTCAATTAATTCACGATCATGCATCATCCATCTCCATCTATATATAAATATACTTCATATAATAAATATACATAAATAATTGCTCCAAATAGGACTAAAACTTACACACGGTGTATTAATAGAAGTAATTATGTTTTATTCCCATAATAGGACTATTTTGGTTCTATTTAAAGAACTTTCTCTAAAACAATAATTGCTTCAAATAGAACTAAAACACACAAAGTATATTAAAAGTATACTCACAATAGGACCAATTCGGTTCTATTAAAAGTATAAAACTTTCTCAATTATGGGTGAAAGATTCATACTTTAGGAAGAAACATATCGGTGGTCCTATTTATATACTTTGCCTATATTTTACCCGTATTTAAATAATTCTCGCTATAATATATCATCATCTCTTAATTACTCAAGAAACTAATTAAATTTGGCACCTTAACCAAGTAGCAAACTCACAAACTTTTTTCTTGCCTTTTCATTTTCTTCTTTACAAAAAGAAATAACAAAGACATGCATGTGTATCATATGATATTATTTCATATCATCTCGATCAATCATGTAATAATAATGTACAATAATGTCTTTCTTGTTGCCGCCCGGTATGTAAATATATATGTAGGATGTTGCTGTTAAAAAACTGGACAGAAATGGGCTTCAGGGAAACCGAGAGTTCCTTGTGGAGGTTTTGTTGTTGAGCCTTCTACACCACCCCAACCTTGTGAGTTTGCAAGGGTATTGTTGTGATGGAGATCAACGATTATTAGTATATGAATTCATGTCCAATGGCTCCCTTGAAGATCATCTTCTTGGTATGCACAATTATATTTATATAAGAGAAAATTAGTAGGAGTACAACTAAAAGAAGTGAAGGCGGCGATTAAAATGTGACGAATTAGTGTTTTATAACTAATAAAATGGTGCACGTCCTTCAATAAGTGTTTTGATGATGGTTTTCTCTTGTTCATTTATTAGTCATATATTAGGAATTTTATGAATGCTTTAGTTACATTTAGATATATTACCCTTTATATAATTAAATAATTAAATAATAAAAAGAACAAATGAAATAATTAACAATGATCCGTCATGTACCCGCGTGCATGGGATGTTTGTATATTATGTATGTAGATCGAAAGGGGGGAGAGAAAGCGTTAGATTGGATGACAAGGATGAGGATTGCCCAAGGAGCGGCAAGAGGGCTAGAATATCTGCATGAAACAGCAAAGCCACCAGTGATTTATCGCGACTTCAAAGCCTCCAATATATTACTAGATGACGAGTTCAATGCAAAGCTGTCAGATTTTGGGCTGGCTAAACTGGGCCCGACGGGTGAGCAGTCTCATGTCACCACTCGAGTCATGGGCACATACGGCTACTGTGCACCCGAGTATGCTTCCACGGGGCAGCTCACAACCAAATCCGATGTTTACAGCTTCGGTGTTGTCTTTTTGGAGATTTTAACGGGAAGGAGGGTCATTGATAACTCCCGCCCTAGTGAAGAACAAAACCTCGTTTTGTGGGCACAACCATTGTTTAAAGACAAGAAGAAGTTTCACATGATCGCAGATCCATTGCTGGAAGGGAACTATCCCGCAAAGGGATTGCATCAGGCTCTTGCAATAGCGGCCATGTGTCTGCAAGAGGAAGCCGACACGCGACCTTTCATTAGTGATGTAGTATCCGCTTTGGAGTTTTTATGCGGGAGCAGAAGCAGCAGTGGAGACGATGATGAAGATGAGGATGCGGCCGCAGGTCATGAAGATAATGCAACTGACGTTGCCACATCTTCTCCACCACAATGAGATCCATTGAGGATGTACTAGCTAGTTATGTAGTGTTCTTCGTTCATACATCTTACGTTACACACCGACTAAGCTATCTAGCTAAGATCTCAATGCATGTAGATACCTATATATTCATGTACGTGATGGTGGATAAATGATGTTAGTACATGTTAATTGACTGTTAGCTTGTACTACACATACATACACAAACACAGACACACACACACACAATTAGGATCAAACAAAAAGAGGATTTAACTTGTGAAATCCACACTTCACCTTTACCTGTATCTGTTTCACTTTATGTGCAGTGTAATGCACTTTTTAACAATTATCCAAAAAACATGTCTTCACCAGATGTCATCGCGTGTTTGACTAAAATGTGGTGGCATTTTTGTAAACAAGTGATTTCTAATGAAATGTCAAACATTGCAATACATCTATTCTAATATAAAAGCAAAAGAAATTTGAGAAACGGTGTTGCTGCTTAGAAATGTGAACATCAATTTTTTATTATTTTAATTATTCAAAATAAATACAAATGAATTATTGTGTAAAGATAATAGCTCGGTCAACACATGAAGTTTAGTGATTAGGCAATTCCTATTGGTGCAAAAAGGAGGTGCGCAGAGCCCAAAAAGTTTCACGTATTCATATTGGTGGTATCTATCTACTACGGAGTAATATCTTATGAATGATATTCCTACACGCAATGTGTGAGTACAAATAGTAATGGAAGTTCAATAATGGACACACTCTACAGCACCAGTCTAATCCGGCTAGGCTGTTTCAATGAAGAGTATGCGTAGACAACATTAAAAAAATGTTTAAAAAGTACAACCCATCAGTTCTGGCCAACCAATTCATTAGGGCATGTGAAACTTCTTAGGGACGCTTCTCATGGAAAGGACATTATTTTTTGGCTATTATCTTTGGCTTCTTCCATTTTAAATGTTGAGCCTACAATGCGCAAGAATATTATCATATATACAGTCAAAGGAGAAAACCAAATGGACATGCAACTTTAGAAAAACAAGCAACATAAAAAAAGCTCTAGACGAGCTAATGGGCATACAACTCTAGAAGTATAAGTAAAAGAACAACAAACATAGACCTACTGCAAGTTCTTTGATTTTACAAAGAAGCAAGCATCTATGCAACAATGGGTCTCTCCATGGCTACGCCCTATTGATGATTTGCAGCTCATGCAAAATCAACCAGAAAACTTCTATCTTGAACTCATTGATTTCATGATATAAAAGATGTACAACTTAGGCACGGTATAGCTATGCAAAGGAAATCTTTGTTTTCATTTTCCAGAATGGTCAGGTTATTTGTTTTGTAATTCTACAAGGATTGAAAGCAAAATACTGGGGGAAAAAACTAATAATTCAATTTATGAGTCCAAACTGGGCTTATGAGATATGTTTGGGATGACATATATCAGTCACTTTTTGAAACATAATAGTTAAGTTGGTATTTTGTTTTACAAAAGTTAGTGTGTGTTAGGCAGGTTAGTTAGATTAGGTAGAATTTAGCAACTTCAGCTAAAACACTGATTTCATTTCAAATAGTCACATTAAGCAGTGTATACACATATTGCAGCATTCCAAATATATATTTTCAAGCATATGTTAAAACATTGCATAAAAGACATTCAATGACATCTGCAAAAAAATTGAGACTTACTTAACTTCAACTTATAGGAATTTACAGAAAAATATTTCAAATGACTAATTTAACTGATTTATAATATACAGTGTCTTATATCATACTAAGTTCACAATATTAAAAATGCATAGCCGATGTGTGTGTAAAATGCATAACAAATCTGCGTGAATGACAAATATATGTAGTAATTTGAAATAATCTACTCACATGAATACTTAATTGTACATACTTAAAAACCAAAACTTATTTTAGTTGATCAAATGTATCAAGCTAGAAGATACATGATTAAGGAGACATATTTTGAAGTAGACAAGACCAAATAGTAAGGAGGAATTTTAAGAGAAACTAATTGTAATACTTGAGATTTAATTTAAACGCATTAATAGTACTACTCATACCAACAGAGGTGCATCTCCTTTTAAGGGAGCTCATCACCCAAGAACTCCAAAGTTAAGCGTGCTTGCACGGGAGTAGTCTTGGGATGGGTGACCCCCTGGGAAGTTTCTCAGGGCGCGCACGAGTGAGGACAAAGTGCGCGGAAAAGGCTAGTGGCGGTTTGTGAGGGCAGTACTAGAGGTCTAGAGAGAGGTCTGGAGTAACTACCTCGGGGCCTGCGGGGCTGGGGTGTTACATCATGAGTAACTACCTCGGGCCCCACGGGGTCGGGGTGTTACACTAATAAAATCAGTAAACGTGTGTTGTAAGAGTACAGATCTTTGAAGGTTTATAAATGGATCGTTTAAACATATTTAACTAAAATAAACACAAAGTTTGATGTTAAGCGTTTTTACTAGGGAAGAGTGGTATTCACAAATAGGGTTTTTTTCGCTTATCAGTCTTATCAGGTTTTTTCAGCTAAGCTTTTTTAATGGCCGAAGCATGCAATGAATTGTGAAGATGAAATGTTATATCACTCCCACAACTTGTTGGATTTAATCGGTCATGGGTCTCACATATATGCATGCATGGGTGGAGCTTTATGTAAGTTTGGTTTATGTGTTAATTAATTTATTAAATTAGTAGTATTAGTTTGAAGTTAAGCATTTGTTTTAGTGGGTGGTTACTTAGCATGTTTGCATGTTCCCACTTCCCACAATCCCACTTCCCATGTAGGAATTATTGTAAGGCTATATATATGTCTCTTCTCTTCATTAATTAATACACATTGCATTTTGTAAACTCTTCCTTCTCATATTAGTTATTTCGGGAGAATTTATTTGTAGCTTCTGTTTTCACTTCAACACTTGGTATAATTTATCAAGTGTAGATTTTCTTAATCAATTTATTTACAACATTTGGTATCAAAGCCCAAAGATCCATTTGAATGATTTTTTTAGCCGTTCTTGATCGCTGGTTGAAGCATCTCAACGGTAACCTTGTTTTTCACTTGATTGGGCTTGTTCCAGCGTTGTTGAGAGTATAATCGGTTGCGGGATAAGCGGACAGAAAGACTTCATAGCAGGTTGCTGTGATTCGGTTCGTTTCGTGGGTGACAGAAAACGGTAATAGTGGTTGTGACCGCCTTTTCTTGATCGGTAGAAAATTCTCTCGGAACAAGATTGATCACCAAAATTTGGGGTTGTCCAAACGAAGAATAGAATGGCGTTGGTACCAAGAGAAGGAGGTTCGATGACGTTTCAAGTTCCGGCCTTGACCCGGACGAATTATCCGGTGTGGGCTGTCAAGGTGAGGACGATCATGGATGCATATGGCTTATGGGAGACGGTCGAACCAAGGGCATTAGGTGAACAAATGGATCTAAGGAAGTCAAAACAAGCTCTTGCTTTCTTGTTTCAAGTGATACCCGAAGACATGGTGTTGTAAATGGCGAGTTACACTGACCTTAAGCAAGTATGGGATGGCCTAAAAACGCGGTTTTTAGGAGTGGAGTGGGTGAGAACGGCTCGTCTTGCAACTCTAAAGAGGGAGCTCGAAGGATTGCATGTGAAGGAAGGTGATACCGTTGATGAACTTGCCAAAAAATCGATCGGTTTAGCTTCAATGGCAAGGATCCTCGGATACGAGATTGAGGAATCGAATTTGGTGAAAAGGCTACTTGATTCTATGCCCAAATCTTATCTAACTCGTGGCTTCAATTGAGTAATGCTTTAAGTTAAATGTGATGTTATTTGAAGAGGCTGTTGGAAGATTGAGGGTGTACGAGGAACACACAAAAGGCTTTGAGAAGATAGAAGACAATCAAGGTGGTTTGTTGTGGGCAAGTGAACAAAAGTTTCACGGTTGTAAACATTGTGGCAACGGAGGTTCAAGTCGGGGTGACTTTAGACGTGGCCGGGGAAGAGGTCGTGGGTCCGGGAGGAGTCAAGACGGTAACGAACGTGTCCAGGACAAAAGCCACATTACATGTTACAAGTGTGGGGAACTTGGTCACTATATCAACGAGTGTCCTAAGTGTGGGAAGTAAGAAGCATACTTGATGGAAGAGGAACCGACACTATTGTGAACAAGTAGTATGGACTGACCGATTAAGGGGGTGATTGTTGGATTTAATCCGTCATGGGTCTCACATATATGCATGCATGGGTGGAGCTTTATTTAAGTTTGGTTTATGTGTTAATTAATTTATTAAATTAGTGGTATTAGTTTGAAGTTAATCATTTATTTTAGTGGGTGGTTACTTAGCATGTTTGCATGTTCCCACTTCCCACAATCCCATTTTCCATGCAGGAATTATATTAAGGTTATGTATATGTCTCTTCTCTTCATTAATTAATACACATTGCATTTTGTTAACTCTTCCTTCTCATATTAGTTATTCCGGGAGAATTTATTTGTAGCTTCTGTTTTCACTTCAACACTTGGTATAATTTATCAAGTGTAGATTTTCTTAATCAATTTATTTCCAACATAACTTACCAGTCCCAACATTCTGTCAACAGTATCAATGAACTCCAGCGCGAACACTCTATCAACATTGTCCACCGTCCTCACGAGGCCAACCACGTTGCCCACTTTCTGGCTCAGAGGGGACTCAGATCGCCATCCGCCATCCCGATTTTCTTCTCTGCAACCGAACTGCCTCCTAGCGCTAGAAAGACTTACATTGAGGATAAGAAAGGGGTCTCTCTTCAGAGACACCATGTAGAGAACGTCGCACTTCGCCGATCTCTCTCTCCAAGTTGCGGAAGAAATGTAGGCTCTCTCACTCTAAGGTGTTGAATCGTAACCCTAAATGTGACCGACAGATATATTCCTTGGAGGCATTATGTTTGGATTCAGCCAGGGCGACATTCTTTTGGACTCATTGATTGGCCCACCATAAGGATTGCATAACTGGACCGCTGGGAGTTATTTCAAGCTTTGGTCGTTACTTCATTACTGTTGTAAAATCTTCAAAATGACATGTGTGAATGTTCATCCTTGTAATCAGGACACCAAGCAAATTCTAGTCCTTGTAATCAGGCTACTCATTAAACACAAATTCTTGTAATCACACACATGGGTAGATTCAATACTGCCAGCAAATCATGTACAATCATTCCTAAATGATTCATCCTAAGCTTGGCCAGTATAAATAGGGCTTGTTCAATCTCTTGTAAAGGGACTCAGAAAAATTTTGATATAAAGAAGAAGTAATCCAGAGGTTTT